TTACTGTATCAATGCGGTGTCTGAATGGAGTTGAGCTGTTGTATTTCATCCAGTAATTGGGCAATTTTTCTAAAATATCTTTTTTTGCAAATTTAGAAAAGATAAAGGGAAAAACTGAATGACATCAGTAAGAGTAAGGAAAGAGTTAGCATAAAATAGTTGGGATGAATTAAAAGGTATAATATGTCTATATTTGTCATTAACATTTTTTTGAAATACTATTAAGTTTTCTAATTTATTGCAACAAACTAAATAATCAAAGTAATTTCAAAAGTGTTTAGTTTTATAATTTACCAATAACTCCAATAGTCTATCCTTGAACTTGTAACAAAGTTTCTGCAGTCATATTTATGGTTCAAAACTTATTTCTTACCTAATTCCTCACTTCCAGGCCAAAAAAATACTGCTGATTTTAAGCCAGCTTTTTGTGCTGTTTTCCATATCTGAACTATAATTTTAATAGACGGAAGAAATAAGGTTATTCATAATGCTTTATCAACACAAACATAATGCTTATCAACGTATCACTAAAAATTAAATCTTGTAAAAAGCAAATTACAAAAAAAAAGAGAAGAAAAATGGTGTTTGTGGATAATTTTTGTAGATTAAAAATAAATCAAAAAAAAAAAGGCATTTACCGGTTCACCAAGGTACCAACCAGGTTTATTGGAACTTTTCTTGAAGAAAGCCTGAAATGTGTAGTGTAATTGAAAAGAAATATAGCATTAAAATTAGCAAAGTCTTATCTTATGAAGTTAATCAATTATAGCTATTTTATGTATTAGTAGAGACTTCAAAAAACAATATGTCGCGTGTTCGTACGTAAATACTAGTGAACTTTTCTTTATTCAATGTAAAATAGTTATTTAAATATGAAATAATAAATGTTACTTTCAGTTTTATATCATAGAAACGATTATCAATGATCCCGTGCCAGGCGGGATAAAGTCCGGTTGCTATGGTGTAATGGTTGGGAAAAGTCTTAGAAGGAAATGTTGGTAACATATATTTGCTGTGGGTGCCATAGTTTATCAAACGTTGAATTGATGGTGTAATATTGTGCTCCAAATAGCTATTTCGGAAACCGTCGAAACTAAGGATAAGTAGTGGTGTTTTATTAAATCTATAAAAAAATAACTAAATATTTCAATAATATTCATATATTGCAATAACTGAAATTATTTCATCAATAGGTTTTCTGCATATTTGTTAATTGTTAGCTATTTGTAAAACTAGTAAATAGTAGAGAAGAAGCAAATATCAAAAAAGTATTGGCATTCTAAAATATTAATCCTTTAAGAATGTACCACTAAAAACTTGCTCACTTCTTTTCGCATATATCTAAACTGCAATTATTAGAACTTTGCGTATTTGCATCACCGTCTGAAAGTTTAGTCGAGATTGTGCGTAAACAACCGAATATGATGATAACAGTAATGAAAAGTGATAGTATATATCCGACAGAGAAGAGTGTCACTTTCGGCAATTTAACATTATACCGCTCTGTTGAATTCACCGAAATATATTCCTTTAAATTACAATTATCATTTCTTATGTATGTTTCCTGAAAGTATTCATAAATTGCCCTTGACAAGAAATAAATGCCCTTTTTTTTGCTTTTAAATAATTAATTTCTTTTGACAATTAATTCTTCTCATGTGAATTCCTGATTCATTACTAGAATTTAGGGAAAGAAATTTTGTTTGTAACTGAAATGGATGATGAGCTGTGCAATGCTAGTACAAAATAAATTAATTAGAGTAAGAAATATTACTTAATTCAGTAGTTAATATAGAAAAAATACTTCAAATATTGCTAATTCATGGGTAAAGAAATTGGGAATCAATGAAATGCTTTTTTGTTCAACAGGTAAATCAAGTTAGAAACCCCTGTTTTAAAAGACACAATATAGATCATGTAAAATTTTACATGCTGCATTCATTAAATTAGCAATCTCAAAAATCAAGATCAAAAAATTATTAAAAGTAATTTATTTAACATATTACATAATTAACAAAATTTCAATTTAACATAGTTTCATAAAATATGGAAAGGAAAAAATTGAAAATGTTTTCTTACAAGTTAAAACACAAATTAGTCAGATCTGTCAAATTCACTTCTACAAATATTGCATATTCTATTTTTAAATTTTTTTTACAGCGATGAAAATAAATTTCACTTTTTTACCTTAGGTGCAACTGTAGTCATTGTTTGGGCGACTGAAAATATGTTTGGAAGTTTTCAGAGCAGCACAGTATTTATTATCGAATTATTTGACTATTATCATTGCTAAAATTTTTCAATAATCCATTGTTGTGTTACTAAAATTAAAAAATAGTATTCAAACAAAAAAAATTTGGTTTTCAATAACAACACAACAAGACAAATTTGAATTTGATGAAAACATTCACAGCAAAAATTTTGCCAAGTTTTTACACTTTGACCAAATTCAAAAACTAATTTATTAAAATATTTAAAAAATTACAAAAGCGGGAGAATAGATTAATTTTTTAATAAGAAATATAACATGAAACGTCATCACCGATAGTTTACTCACTATTGATAATTTCTTGATAAAAATGTTGAAAATGGAAGAAGTTACACAATTCTGCACTAAGTCAGTACTTTCTTTCTTTTCTCTTTTGCTGCAATTTTTTTTAATGGCAATAAATTTCTTTAATTCACCCTGTAGTCACCTTAGTGACTACTTTGAAATGCTATTTCAAACACACTTGGAATTTCGAACTACTTTTTATTTAACGCAATTTTCTTATTTTTTTTCTTTAGAAATTACAAATTGAAAGATTAAATTATTTATAAACTCCCATTTCAATACATTAATGGATCTTTTTAATTACTTTAAAAATTTTTAATATTATTAAAACATTAATTTGATAATGGACTAAAATAAGTTTGTATTCACTGCAATATAAATATTAAAATATGTTGGAATTTAAACTTTTTATTAAATTTAATATTTATCTATTTCATATTTATCAATGCGCGTCTTCACTGAATCACCTCTCTCACTGAAGTACACTTTCACTCGCTTATTTTAGCACTTCCGCCAATAAGCTATCATTTTTAAGTTTTGCTTTTTTTACTTATTTTATTTGGTGAGTTGCCTTCGTTGCTTTTTCATTTTTTTTTTTTTTTAATTTTACTTTTGTTTCTTGACAAAGAATGGAATATTCATCCTTTTTGTTTTACCTAAAAATTTGAAATGCATATGATATATTTGAAGTGATTTTTCGATTTAGAATTTGTTGATAATTGACATAAATTAAAGATGAAGCAACCATAAATTTTTGAAAACAGAAGTGGAATATAAATTTAGAAATACATGAGTAACATAATAATATATGAAATGAACCTAAGTCATTTGATTTCTTTAGTTGTTAAATAAATAAAGAGTTAATGTCAAAGTACTAATTAAGCAGATGAATAATTTATACATTCTTCAGCAGCTCATATAATATTTTAAGTAAAAGCAATGATCGAAATTTATGCAAAAAAAATCCAAAATTTCCAAGTTGTCAAATGCATAATTCAAAAGGCAAATGTGAATTACATATCACTATCAAATTGTTTTGATACGGGTCGTCCGACAAATTTAAAAAGAGGCTAAAGCAAACATATTAAATGCTATGTGCTAGTTGTAATAGCGAGTAAAATGTAAGTGAAATAAGCAAAAATGTGATGAAACATTTCTTAAAATATTGTGACACTTTTGATAGTGATCCATCGGTTATTCCTATTCATTGCTGTCATTTGTTGTAATCTAACAAGGCATAAAGTAAGTGACTTTAGCTAAAGGATGTTCAAAAAATTTAGAAATTAAAGCAAGTAGATCTGCTAAAGAATTAGCATTTTATAAGACTAAGAAGATATTTCCGGCATTTTGAATTTCAAAATTGATTTGCAGTCTTTTTTTTTTAATAAGAATTAATATGAAAGAATTGAAAGAATCTATTTTGGTTTATTTTTGCTTAGCATTGTTGTTGTTGAAATTGCCGTGTGATGCTATTTGGATTCGAAATTGAATTTGATTCATACAGACGTGTCATAGCTTTATTAATTGCGACAAAATTTAGAGGGAATTTTGTTGTTTCAAAAAATCTCTCATCCAATGTCTTTTATTCCTTTAATTGGACTGCAATCTGAGATCGTTTCATAATTTTTATTTCATGCAGCTAACAATTGTGGCTGTATGATTCACAAAAGCATTCAAATTCTGTTATTTTTTTCTCCGCTTATTTTAATAAATATAAAAAAAAACATTTCAAAAGATAATTTATTGTGATAAGTTTGAGGTAAAACCCATCGTAGTGATAGCTTCTTTAAATCATTCATATGACCTTGCCGTAAATAAATAGGAAAAAAGAATTCTGCAAAATAGCTTCATAACTGAAGATTTCATGCGACATTGCTTGCTATCATTAATTCAGTCAGGTCAGTTCGTGAAATTAACAGCAGTGTATGCCGGTGTGTTTTAAGAATTCCGTTTAATTCATTGGAAAAATATGAATGACAGAAAGAAATGTGAATACTATAATGAACCATGCAAGCATATCGGATGATGTAGGAATTAGACAATTTTAAGCTGTCACTGAGTCAATTTCACTAATAATTACTTCGTTAGCTTCAATTTCCATTCTTTTATCAATTATCATATCACTCCCCGAATAAGGAATGACTCAAAAATACTTTTTCACTTCAACGTGTCAAAATCGGAAAGCTATGCTATCTGCGCCGACTATGCATCATTTTTCGCATTGATGTGTTTAACGCAATTCAGACTTTTGTAAGTTTTGTTTACTCATAATACTACAACATAACTCCATTACTAGGTTATCAATTGTTGAAGCATATATTTAAGCTTTTGAGAATTGCGCAAATTAAATATGAAAACAGTCGGGCATTTTATTTAAATTTATAACAGCAAAACTGGATTATTAACATTTCTTATACTACGCCACTTCAGTCTTCCACGAAATTCTTCAAAATGAATTTTGCAAAATCAAATTTTTTATCACTTTCCACCACGAATGAGCTATCAGTAACCTGAAATTGCATATAAAGAAGTGATGCTTACTTCATGATCTTTAGTTACTTAAGCGAACCATAGTTGTGAACAATTATCTCTTTAGAACTTTTGATTCCTTTGTCATATCGGTTACTCACGCATTACTGGTGCTTCCTAATGATTGTAATCAATCAAAATTTAATATTAACAATCATTTCTTTCAGAAAAATTCGAGAAATTGTTATCGATATCATAACAAAAGAATTCGAAGATTTTTTATTTCTTCAACCTTTGAAAATTGAACCTTTACAGCAACCTTTTCTTTATAATTTATTTTTTGAAATCAATAACCACTGCTAAAAAATTTGATTCCACTTACAAAGGATGCGATAGCTATTAAACTGATAAATTTTCCACGCATGCCTTCATCGAGAAGAAAATAATAGTCCTCTAATGTATTATGTTTGATTATCCTTTCTCGAGCTGTGAAATGGAAGATTTATTTGCATTTTATTGCTCTTTCTTTGATAACAGAATTTTAGCGTATTGTTCTCATATTTTAAAATTTTTGTGTTTAATTATGTCAAAAGCTGTCCTCTCTATTTCTCAAATGTTTTCATGTTTTATAAGTTCGATTGTTGAAAAGCTTGAAGCAGTCATAATTTTAATTCTCGACTTATTTCCTAAATGATTTTTTGTTGCGGCGCACAGTTCGAATGTCGCTGCTTCAGAGAGGCCAGTACTTCCATCAGCTAAATATAGCTCGTTATCACATTATCTTGAAATATTCTACTGAACTGATAGGTAACTCTGCTGAGATCTTACAGAATCAAACCTAATGATATTCCATTGTGTCTCATTTGTAATAGTTGTGATGGATCTAATAGCAACGTTACCATTTCGACAACAATTTAAGATACTGGACAGGTGCCATTCTTATTTTAAAATTTGTTTACTTAGATTGCGTTGTTATTGTTGTTGTTGTTGTTGTTGTTGCCAGCTTTGATATTCTTTTTGCTCTTGCTGCTTGCAGTATGTCTCGTTTATTATATAGCATTTTGCTGTGTACTGGACCAGCACTAATCCCATTCAATTCATTCGCGAATAAAATTAAATGACAAATACTGAATCCACCAAGCAATTCCATAATAATTTTCCAGCTGTGCATTGTTCTATTGTTTAGAATGTTTGCAAGATAATTTCTCCCTCTGTAAAGTTTCACTGAGAGACAGATACTCAATGTAAAGATTATTTTCATTCTAATTTATGAATCAAATGTTCGCTGATGAAGGAAAGGATAAGAACTGTTTTATTGCTCAGTTAAATAGGAATTTGTTTGATAATTTGATATCTAAATCTCACAATAATTACTGTACATATTTTAATCTTTATTTTCTTATCAATTATTACATTACTTCACAACGATGCATCGAAATCGAAAGATGACTCTATCAATACGAACTATGCACCATTTTCCTTTCTAAAATGATGCATCAATTGTTATCAAACATTTGTTTTGTCGATTCAAATTATGAATTCATGAAGTGCTCAAGCAAAGAAATAGGAAACTGGAAGTGGCGGTAAATGAAAAATTTGGAAATGAAAATGTTACACTGTGCGACAAAATTCTCTACAGTTCTTTATAAAGACTTCCGGAACTTTTTTTCATTCATTAGCATTTGCTTAATTTTGTTCTATTGAATTTTCGTTTTTTGTAGTCATTCAGAAAGCTGGACAACCAACTGTATTAAATGAAGCCAGACAATAACTGTCTGCATAAATAATTTATCTATTCTTATCGGAATTTTTCCACAATTTTGGATAAATCACCACTTGCCAATGTTTTATTACTTCATGACAAAGTGAGGTAAGTAAATTAAGAAACACGAAATCAAAAAAGCAAAATTCATAGGTGAAACCACAATGATTACCTTGCAAGCCAACCTTCCATTGTCAACTTCAGTATATCCATTTCAATATACATTCATCCATTTGTTATGCGGTGGAGACGCAAACAGTTCACAGATTGAATTGATCTTCGGCAGATTTCCAGTGGAGACATTGGAGTCATTGATCATTAAATTAGCTCTTCAGTGTTGTTTGAAGTTGTATGATTAATAATGTTTTAATAGTGGTGATGTTCTTTAAGGCTGCCTTTATAAATTTCATTGCAAGTAACAATGGAAGGTTGGGTAGTGATAGTTCGTGGGTAATTAGGGAATGATGCTTCGGATGTTACGATCAGCGACATCATGCATGCTTTGACATTCCTGCAGAGAATCAATCTAAACATAAGAAGATATCTGCCTTTGCCTTTTTTTTTGTTACATCGAAGTAATCGTTCTATCGCGGTTAGCCAACAGCGTAGAACACGTGAATAAAGTTGGCTAAGCCACAGCTTCTAGACCCTTTCCCATATAAAGAAACAATGTTGATGTTAAGAAAGGGTTTGGGTTTTTAGTCTACCACCTCGAACATTAATCTCGAATAGCTAATGTCTTGGACCCCCTGCATGCAAGATTAGGCCTGTTGATTCCAGTACATCTTATCACCTCTCATTTTTGTCTCTCATTTTTCGCTATAGAGATTTGTGAAAGCGGATCCTTCGAGCTTGTACAAAGCTTTTTAAACGAACTTGCCCTAAAGTGCATTCTTGGAAAATTATTATGGATTTGGTGGATCCAGTATTTTCCACTTAACTTTATTCATTTGTGATTAATTTGAATAGGAATTAGTGCTGGTATGATTCACAGCAAATTCAATATAATGAAAAAAAACCGAATGACAACATTCAGGGGCTCATTTAAATATCAATAGCCCCACTGTCTCCGGTGGAAATCTACAGACAGGTCATTTCAATTGTGTTATTTACGCCTAAATTGCACGATAAGTTACATATTGTCTTCTCAATATATATGCTCCAACATTTCAGAACGATTCCAAAAATAACAAATCCTACATCGACTTGACGCCAGAGAAACATTGCAATGACTGAAAATTTTTAGATCACTGAGGGTGAAAGATTCACATCTGGCATGTAAACATCTCACTGCACTTAACTTTTTTATACCTTAACCTTTTGTATGGGTATTACAATCGTACCACTTTTCTTCACTGCACGACTATAGCTAATGAAAAAATCAAAAAAGGAAAACTTTAACTGTCACGTCGTATCTAAATAGAGAATTTGAAACTCATGTGTAGAGGAGAAGTATCATAAAAACAAGTCAAATGATAATACCTAGCATAATGCATGCATACCTGCTATATATATATATATATATATGTATGTAACAAGTTATAATTAAGAGGAATAGTAATGTTCGACCCACTCATTTTCACCTTATTTAAATTCTCCAAATACTCCAAATAATGTTATTCCCTCTCACCCTAAATGTAAGATGAACAAAAATACTTTATTTCTGCATCCTACAATAGTTTTAACTCAAATTAATTCTAATTTATAATGAGATAATTTTCCAAAACAAAATCACCCAGTAAGCCTTTGAAAGTATTTCAAGATCACACAGCTCTACAGATGAATAAAGCAAAGAATAAGAGATACTGATTTTACCCGACATAATCATACGAATCACGAAAATGCAATACAGTTAAACCTAGTAATAAGAAAAACTGAGGTATTGCTGCAAGTGACCAACTTAGAGGATTCTTCACTATTATTTCTTAACTGGATTTTTCTTGCTGAAAATTCTCAACAGTTTCGATTGCAACTTCTTATGCAGTATCATCGTCGTCGTCCTCAATAAGATCAATATTTTCAATATCCTTTTCCGTATCGGAATCTGATTCAGTATAATTACTAACAGAATTTTGCAGCAATTTATTATAAGCTGCCAGAAATAGTTCGACTTCATCTGATACCAATGAGGCCATAGCGCGCTAAAAAAAAAGTAACTAAATCAAGTCAATTAAATAAGTTTTAAAAGCTGCACCAACTTGAATTATTTACAAACCCAATATTCAAGGATTTTCAGCTAAAGTTTTTCTAAAGGCATAAATTTTACTCCAGCGTATTAAAGAAACTATAAGAAGTTCATAAGTTATATTTAATCCAAATGTAATACTGACATAATTTGAGATTAGCAAAAAATGCTCATTGACATATTATAGTCGGCAACCAACAATGCTCAAATAATTGCAGTTATGAAATGAAATCACCTGGCAAAATATAGCAACAATTCGGGAAGTTTTTCAAACAATTCAGGCTACTTCAAAGACTTAGCTTACCCTATGAATTGTTTGTAACGTGAGTGGCTCATATTTCAACATAAAATTCGCATAGTCAATCCAACATTCGTGTGCCTTTCTTCCAAATTCTACAATCATTAACTCAAAAGCCTGTGCAACAAATTCGACTGACATTTGCTTTGATTTTAATTCAAGCTTGATAAATGTTTGATGAACTTCAATACTGAAATACAAATTTTTGTTAATAAGTCTGCTAGAAAAAAATGGACAATAAAAAAGAATTTTCTTTTATTTCGTCAATTAACAAAGTTAGGAAAAGTGGGAAAGTGGATGAATAGATTGTCCAAGACGTGCTATTACATCGTAAAGAAACTAAATAAAAATCTTTTTTTAAAGAAATAGAAAACACAATAATCTCAACAATCAATTAGATTCCACTTTCAAAATTGAGAAATTTATGGTGGTTTGGCAGTGAAGCAGACTGCAAATAATTGACAAACTACAAAATATTGGGAATTCATTACCTGTTTGGTGGATGTTTTGCAAACAGGAAATATTCTTCCCTTAGTTTATTAGGTCTGTCATGATAAACAGAAGCCATGTAACTGAAAATCATTATTAGTCACTGGAGGAGAAATTTCAATTATCAAACATACTCTGATGCAGCTTTGAAGCACTGCTTCTCTAACTTTTTGCTCTCTCATCTTTTCTCTTCTCAATCACTAACAATATTAATCATTGTTTACTACTATCACTCAGTTGCTCACTGCTATTAAATCTTAATAACTGAAAGGCAAAAAAATGAAAGGTCATTCAATGCCTCTTCACACTATCAAAGGAATAGAGGCAGAGACCATCTAGGCTATTAAGAAACTGAATTACAACAGAAAAAATTCCTACTTCAAACGAACACAACGCATTTGACATGCAACTTTCGGTGTTGTACGAAAAGTAGCTTGTCTGAAAAAATCATCCACATCATCTTCCGAGTACTGATGCGCCCAATCGATGATTACTTTGTACATGCTAGCAAGACCATAACTTCCATCATATGCCTTAAACTGTTAACATGTTTGACAATTCGAAGCAATACTACTACTACCATATATTATTAAAATATCAAAGCAGCAACTAATATTCAAAGCTATAAAAGCTTAAGTTATTTCAGATGCTACAACATTACTAAAGACTTCATCAATGTATTTCTTTTATTTACCACACTTGCATTTATCCTCAAAAATGACACTTCTATGGATCGACACAAGTACACATTGAAAATCTGACAAAAGACTGATGATTCCGTCAACTTGACTCACCGATTGACGGCGATTTAAAGAGATTAACGCAGAAAGCATTTTTTGAAAACCTGTAGCATCGTTTAATGAAAAATATAATTTTCAGGAAAACACTGAGACACTTTTCTAGTTCATCGTTCTAACAAAATATCAAATAATTTGAAAAAGCATACTTCTCGTGTTGCTTTATTGAACAATTTACGTATCGTTTCCACATCTGTCGGGTTGGATTTTATTTTGCACTGCAATAACATCATCCATAAAAATGCATTTTCCGGATTGTTTTTCACTGCCTCATCCAAAACTTTCTCTTTTTCTTCGGAACTTTCTACCAGCACATTGAATTTTCTAACATCCATATCTGTCCCATATCCTCTACTAATCAACCAGAAAAGCTGTTCACGAAACTTCTCTTTTGCATCTGCATCACCTTAAAGTAGAAAATATGACTTTATTGTAGTTAACTATATACAAAAGAAAAAAAAAAAAAAAAAACAGATTATGAAACACAGATTATGCCAGGCAAAAAAATGATACGTGATGAATAAGATTAGATTAAGTTTTGCTCTTCGAAATGAATACATTTTTTATAAATATGGTATGTCTAAAATGTTAATTTTCTCCTACAAACTGGTTTGAAAAAGAATGGATATTGTTAAGCTACTTTACGCAAAAGATTCAGTGTTGCTGCAATATAGCATCGAATAAAAAAAAATGCAGCTATTTAAGTCTAAAAGAAATGACACATTTAACAAACAATTCGTGAAGAGAATAACTAACCATCATATGAATAATGTCTTTGACAAAGAGTCAAATAATGTCGATGCATCCTTTCAGTTGGTATATCCTCACAAGCTTTGTCAAACAATTCGTAGAGAGAATATTGGTCCTAAAAAAGGACTTCTTTCATTTAATCCCGGAAAATGTCGATTTTCTCATTATATGATTATCGCTGTGACAAAGTAATAAAAATAAAGCAGGATAACATTATCACATAAGTCCAAACAACTAAGGTTCATCTTGAACATCAAATATATGAAATTAAGAATCCAGAGCAAATCTTGAAGTCAACTACTATAGAGTTTTTCATATTTATATCTTCTATTAAACAAAATTCTAAACATATGCTAAAGCATAGTGATGAAATGAAGCCCATTTATCAGGTTCCAATACTTTCCATTGAATAAAAGCATCGATGCCGAAATGAAACTTACGTAATTCATTAATTCCGATTTTGCAATCCAACTTTCTTCACTTTTATACTTCGGCGTCCATAACATATCATACAATTTTTCTACCAGATGACATGCCACCAGACCATATTTCTTCATAATTCTCCAAAAATTCAGTAGCATTGCTATAATAAACGCAATTTAACAATTGGACCTAAGCAACATATTCGACCATAAACTACTGATACTGAAATTCAATCATAATCTAACTGGAAGGTCGTGTTTTTTTATCCTGATGCTTTATAATATTCAATTTCCAAAAATGGTGAATAATATCTTGCAACCAGTAAAATATACAGATGAGACCAACCACTTCGTCCTGAAACGCAACATTCCAAGGCCTCATTAATGATTGTTTCAACGACTCGAAGACCCAAAACTGCATCCTGTCCACTTTTTTCTTTTATATTTACTTTCATTTCTGGAGTTTTCTGCGCTTCAGCTGCCACTTCCAGTTCTTTCTCCTCAGTACATGGCAAATGATACCCTTTTCCCGTCAAAATACTCTTTCGAGTAATCAACCTGAAAACAATTTATTGAATAAATCCTTAAGCCACAGTTTTAAGAGTTTACTGAGTCACTGTCTAAGAAAAAAGTCTATATGTTAACTATAAAGTGTTTTATTCAGTTAGTTTATAAATTAATTCTGAGTGGGAATTTCTGAAAATCATCATCAACCCAACCATTTGACATGATCTAATTCCAGGTGAACAAAATTCGTCCATAAACTGCATTCTGTAGGATTCAACCGAATCCCCTCTTGCATTATACAACGTGCGCACTCTATTCTATGTTCGACTGAATATTCAAATCGAGCCGCTTGAATTCGTAAAGCAGAATTCCTTGGAAAGAGCTGGAACATATAATTTCATAAACTGGAACATATAATTTATTTGACGTTATATTCTGATCAGTCTAATTAAGACCACGTAATAAAAGTAATCATTTCTGACGCCGTGAGTAATTATTTACTTTCACGAAGGCCTAATTTTAATTCGCACTTTACAAATTTACTAACCCTTGATTCTGCCCTTACAAAAAGAGATTCCTTTCAGAAACTTACCTGCATTGCGCGGAAATACGCTTTACTGCATCGGATATACATTTTCTCTTCCTTCAAAAATCCGATCAAATCAAACCAAAGCTCTGCCCGCCCCTGCAATCAATTTCATATTAACTTGTTAGGTTTCTCTGAACATAAACTGCACGTCATTTGAAAATATGAAGTTAAGTTAATATCAAAATATCAGCTATCATTTCAACAAATTATCGAATTTTTTCAGTTTTCAAAATTTGGCAGACATACCTATATTATAAAAAAGACTACACCAAAGTATACTCCTATTAAACAAAAAATGAAAAACCTGAAATCGTTCACAACACTGTCGCAGCAGATTGGCAACTTTGATGATGATTTTGCCTTCAATTTCATCTTCTCTCAACCTGTAATTCAATCGTTTCCGTCGCATTCGAACAAGCTTCATAATCGATCCCAAATAATCGGTATATCCTTTGAACGACGATGGATCTTTCCGCTGAAAATAATACGCATTGATTGGTACTTTCACCAAACACTAAATGATGCTAATGTTATAAAATTCCAATGAGTACCCAAAAATCAATTCTCTCTCTCTTGGACATTTGACGGACATACAGCATCAACTTATAGTAATACTTCAGGCTTTACACTGCGACATTTAAGCACTTCCACTGCGAAATCCAAACTAATTTAACAAATCCTGACAAATTCAGCAAGAAAGTCATTGTGATTAATAGTATAGCATAAGTTAAGTTGTCGAAGAAAAAGTTCTTACAGGCTTTTGAAGACGATATTCGAAGAACTGGCAACGTTTGACAAATGCATCAATTTCAGTAGGTGATAATAACTGAACATCTCTTAATGTCTCGAAAACAGGAAGCAAACCTTCGATATCTTCTTCCACAAATTCACTCATTCTTCACCCAGTGATCGGCACAAAAAAATAATTTCGTATTATTCTCGAAAGAACTACCATTGAAATTACCTCATATAAGATAATAGAAAAAGTAAAGATGATCCTACAAGTTACTGGTTATGCATAGAGTAAGATTAGTCCTATTTGAATCATTTTGATAATTTCAATCATTATCTAAGCAATTCTGGATTATCAACTAAAATAAAGGCAATATTTTAATAACATTTACTAGATTATATTTATGACGTTCCCGTGGAAAGAATTTCTCGGACAAATTCATTTATTTCTCTATAAATTATATATTAATGAATGAATCTAGACATTACCACACAATACAAACACCCCACCGAACAATATACGACCAAAACCAACAAAACACTACCACACCATTAACCCCTCAATTCCAACAACATTAAGCTAAAATTCCTCAAATGCAATATTTTTGAATTTAACGCGGTCCATTATGCTCTGAAAGCATCTCCGAAACTCTTCAATTTTATATAATTCTTCCGATCACTAGTGTAAAGGGTTTATTAGGTTTATTATAGGAAGGAACTGCATAATTGAAGAGTATATAAGTAAATAGTATAACGGAAAATATCATGCCAAAATTATGAATTTGTTTGCGTGATTACGAGAGATCACGGATATATTACGTGATTATAAGCTGACGTAAGTGGTTTTTTTTAACACAAGTATTTATTTCTCTTTTAAATTATTTCAGTTTTTTAATATTGTGATTTCAATGTGTTGAGAATGACTTCTAGTAGTACAGTATCAGTAACAATTTAGCGCTATGTGAACTATACGTGATAATTTCATGAAATTCGGATTCAAAATTTTTATGAACAAATGTAACTTAGATTAACGCTGTTAATATTGTAATAGGAATTCTGGATTTTAGCATAAGTTTATTTCAGTTCACACATTCATTGATTGCATTATCACAAGTAAAATTGTAAGTTGGTTAGAAAATCATATGGTATATCAAGTACATCAGCAATTATTAAAATTATCATTATTATTTGTTATATAGAAGTGATCTGTTAGCTAGAGTGATGATGTGTTAGTATCAGTCTTTGATATTCCCGCTTTACCAGAATTTCATTTCGTCTTTGTCATAAATTCTGCAACTTTATCGGCGATATGTAATTCCTTGATTACGCTTCATTCCTCTTCTTCGTCCGCAATTATCGCAAAATATCGCTTGGTGGAATTTTTGCTCAGAATCTGTTTCATCCGATTCGTTACAATCATCATCATCATCATTCTCACCATCATCACTGTCATCGTCATCGTCGTCGTCGTCGTCGTCCAATACATCAAAATTTGTCCCTATATATTAATGATGTATAAGTAAATTCGATATTTTTGTTCCTATTCTAGCTTTAGTTATAATTTCTTGTCTGTTTTTTAATGAAGAAATATTAATTTCGTATATTTGTACGTTCTCATCGACGTATATTTCATCTACGTATAGCACGCAAACGTAAAATATTAGGTAGAATGATTTGTAATTCTTATTTCTGTATTAAAATTTTTAATTTTTTAAGAGTTGTAATCTTATTATCAAAATATTATAGTTTGTTAATTTTCGTCTATATGATAACTTGCCGCCAGTATTTTCGACTGTTATTTCGTTGCTATCATCGTAATCATCACTAGTTGCATCACTTGTTGAATATAATTCACTCTTTTCATTACTATAGTCTCTTGATTCACTTTCCGTATCCGAATCACCATAAGCATCTTGAATAAGCGTTGATTCGGAATTTCTAATTTTGCTGCATCCAGTTTCTATTTTCATATTACCTTGCTCCAAACATCCGCTTAGATGACATTTCGATACATCAGTCTCATTCTTTAATTGTCTTGAACTACTACTACCAGCTTCTTCTGAACGTGAAACATTTAAATTTGTTTGTTCTACAAAATGCTGTGCATTTTCTGGTTTGTTTTCGCAGAATGGACAAAACCAGTCATTTTCCGGGATTCGCTCCAGTTTCTCCGGTAAGCAATAGCAATGATAGGCGACATTACAGCGAATCGTAGAACCATCAGCATTTTGACCAATGTTTCCGTCGCAGAGTAGCAGTAAATGTTCATTATCTGAACTTCTGCATGATCGGCAGTTTGCATATTCAATGGTAATATCTTCATTTGAAGGGCCGCCTTGATCATTTTCCAGTTGTTCTTGGGCAAGAAGCTTGAAAATTCAAAAATTTTGCAAAATTTTAAGCAAAAATGAAAAAAGATTTCAAAATAATTAACAACAAATAATATGGTAACATTGTTAATTCTTTATAGAATATGTTGCAACAAATGATTGTAATATTTCTTTTTTCTGAAAATTTAGAACAGAATTATGTCAAAAGGGATAAGACTCTAAAGGATAGATTTGAAATTCAAATTTTTTAAAAAATTACAATGAAGCTTGAAAGACTTCTGTTTATACAGAATAACATTATGAATTTTCACCTTTCCTCCAATTCAATCAAATTTCTTCTGATTTAAAAGCTTAATTTTAACTGCTTGGTAAATTCTAGGTTAAAAATTTCATATATGGTCCTAGACTAGAATCTTTATATAAAGAAAGGTAAACTGGAATATTTTCATGACCGTGTCCGGAAAAATTGTTTAAAATATTTAATTAATCAAACAAAGGACCATTTCACTATAATAATAACAATCATCATGTTAAATAAGTTTAAAAAAATTAATGATATAGACAATCAAATTAAAATATTTCATAGTGATGATATGTTAATGATAACACTGATAACCTCATTTTCAAATTGTTCCTTTGTTCTTTTTTTTACTGGCACTTTTCTTTCATTTTTTGTTTCTTCAATTTTAATTAGATATTTTGGCTCTCCACCACAAAGTGGGCATTGTGATCGCTTTTTTAACCAATCGCGAATACATTTAAAACAGAATTTGTGTTTACAATTATTAAGTCTTCCAAGCGGATATTTTAATTGTTCCAAACATATGGCACAATTTGATTCCATTTTTTTTTTTCTTTTTTTAAAAAAGTCTTGTTAGAATAACACTCCTTTTAATCGTCTGCAAAACTAACACTTCCAGTGGTTATGCGAACTCTTCACTAACAGATCCTGTAGCTAATACTAACTGATAAAATAATAAAATGATTATTTATAGTAAAGAAAATTTTTGAAAAATTTGCATATGCAAAAAAAATGTATTTAAAAAAATGGGAAAATTTATTGTGCAACAAAAATATTACAGAAAAAAAAAGGGAAAGGAAATTATACCATAAACTTTTTGGAAATAAAAAACCCTAAATAATATTTTTAAATTAGTTTTAAAGTACTAGAATTAAGTTTCAAAAAAAAAAAAAAAAAAGCCTTGTAAACTGGCTAGAATAACACTCCTTTTAATCGTCTACAAAACTAACACTTCCAGTGGTTATGCGAACTCTTCACTAACAGATCCTGTAGCTAATACTAACTGATAAAATAATAAAATGATTATTTATAGTAAAGAAAATTTTTGAAAAATTTGCATATGCAAAAAAAATGTATTTAAAAAAATGGGAAAATTTATTGTGTTGAGAGGCATTTTAAAAAAGATGAAAGGACATAATTTCAATGAAAATTTATGAACTAAAAAAATTTCTTTCAACACAAGCAATAATTATAGCAATAAATTACTGAAGCAAATAGAACTAACTTTTAAAAAAAGATGAAAAAAAAGCAGGCAATAAGCAAAATGATATCACTCAAATAAAATTAATAGTTTAACAATGAGTTTTATATCAAAATGTACAATAAATATGCTCAATAAAAAAAGCATGCAGTTGCGCGTAGTTAGCAAAAAAAGCATGCAGCAAAGAAAGCTAACCACCTGCTATTTTTTTTGCATGACCGATTAGAAATTAATTGCTGCTACAAAAAATAAATGATTTTGTGATACTAATTTTTACTTTCACAATAAATAATTGCTTTTTTTTTTCCTTATAATAATAAATAAATAAAACAAATATAATATGCCACAGATTATATACTTTTTTCTTTTATTCAAAGTAATTTTTTCAAGCGCAACTAAATTTGATAAAAATGAATACTTTTTCAAACTGCAATTAAATTTTATAAAATCTTGGAAAAGAAAAACTTTCAGGATGTGATTTCATCGAAATTGTCAATTAACCAAATCATTGGCTACTTTTTTTATATTTAGTAATAAATACAAAATTATTAGAAATAATTACTAAAACCGCACTTAAATTGTTAAATTTGTTAAATATTTGATTTAAATTTTGTCGTTTTGACTTTCAAATTAGTTAAGTTTGATAGTTAATTAGATTAGATAATTAAATTATTTCCAATAAAAAACGAGGTAAAATATATCAAATGCTTCTGATTTGTTATTTCTGTTTGTTTTAGATGTTAAATCTGTGTATTTTGCAATTATTTATTCAATTACATGCAATGTAAACACATATAAAATTTACTAATTATTCGTAATATTGAAGAAAAAATTTGATAATTATTGAAATAATCGTCATCGATAATTATTAAAATTATTCATTAAAATAATCATTGAGATCATTCGATAATTATTAATTAAATAATTATTTAGTAATTACTGAAATATTTATTTAGTATTATTCATTGAAATTCAATAATTTTTGTCTAATTATTGGAATGAAGTTTAACATAAATAACGATTAATATGATTTGAGATTTTCAAATCCATTGGTTCACCAATCATGAAATAAATCGATTTCTTCTTGTGATGGTATCTAAAAATTAACATTTTGAGAATGAGTTCAACATCTTATCAGTAACATTTATTACCATGTATCACATACTTATCCAAAATAGCATTTTTTTTCCTCCATAAAAAATTTTTTCTCATTATTGTCTCATTTTTATATACTGAACAATTGTAATTAAAAATTTGCGAGTGATAATAAGTTAGTTAATTATATCTTAATATGTTTATTTTGAGCTAAAAATTTTAAAGATTAATTGAAATGTAAGCATAAGATAATTCCCAAATGAAATAAAGTGATAGATTTAATTTTTTACTAGCTAGTGTTAACACACTATAGCTTGTTTATTTTTCTTTTCTTTTAGCAATAAAAGTGAATTTTATTGTTACATGAAGTTCTGGAATATTTTACAATCTCTTTAATTAATGGTGAGATAAATGATTCATTAATCGATGATAATTGTTCAAAGATTTCATGAAGCTCTATTTTTTTCTTTTAATATATGTATATATTTTTTCAACATTTCCAATGAGAGCATATTATTTTTTACTTCAAATTTTTGATTACAGAAGGGACATTATAACAATCCAGCAGTTATCAGGCGAACTTATCGAATAACCGGTCGTATTACTAATGGTGATATTGAAAATTTGCAGTCACCGATGATCATTCATCACTGTCAACATCGAACTGTTTTTGAACTTAATGAAGCTTCCAGATCTATGGAACGAGAACAATGGCATAGATACAAACGAGGTTAGACGTTACTTAAGATTGAATAGCTGATATTTTTAATAGAAGAAAGTTGAAAATGCACAGTCAGTTATTAAAAGAACTTTGCACTTCAAAGTTTGTTCTAAAAATTGTTCATGAAGGACAAAGTATTACCGTATAATTGAAATGACTGGAAATTTGTAAATTTAATCAATTTCATGCTAATTCTTTTTTTTCTCATTACTTGAAATCTCAAAATTCCAAAACATTCATTTTAAAACTTACTTGCGGTAAGCCTATTATATTACTAATGATGCGTAATTTCTTTCTAAGTAAATTTCACTTCTAGAAGTGTTTGAATCACTACAATTTGCCGTTCTCAGTGGTCAAGCAGTTGAAATGGATAAAATTATAATTAAGTGAAAGGAATACTATGTGTCTGAATCTGCTCTGAAAAATGATCGAAAATCATGACATTTGATTCGTTAAACCTTGTTGTGCATTCTTGTTTCATTTCTCGAGCTTCTTTTTCTAACTTTAAAGAGAAGATGGATCAAAGATTGTCATCCTAATGCACATATTAAATATGGCAGCAATAACAATAGTTATTGAATTGAGTGATATTTGTTCTGATAGTTTTTTAATAATATTACAAGCTTTGAATTATAGCATAAATAACGGCTCTTCTGGAATATTTTTAATTTTAACCAAAGTGAATGAAATTACGAAAATGAAAAAAAATTATGTTTGCTTTGTGATTTTAAAATAAGTTTTGAAGAGAAATATAGGAAAATGAATTTTCTCACTGAATGTTCACATTTTTATGCAACGTAATTGATTCTATGATTTCATTATATCAAAATATTTAATTTATTTTTTGAGTTATAGCATGAATAACAGCTCATCTGGAATGTTTTTTAATTTTAACCGAAGTGAATGAAATTACGAGAATTTAAAAAAAAAGAATCATACTTATTTATCTAAATGTTACGTATATGTTAATAGTAATAGTAAAAATTATACAACAGAAGAAGTTCTTTTAACAGATTTATTAAAAAAAAAAAAAACTTCAAATTTTCATATTCTTTCATGCAATCGAATGATAATGATAAAGGTCAATTTAATTGACGAAAGAAACTAATTATTATTTAAATTCTGGCTTACAAGTTTTGTTGTACTGATTTATATTATCTGCGGATAATATTTGAAATGTTTTATGCTTCTCAGTCCATTTGGTAAACATACAAATGAATCATAACAAGAATTTAACAGTCAATTCACTTCTATAATCTGACACTGTGAATTAATCATTATAACAAATTTTATGTGATGCAAGTAACTACTTCTGATTTAGCAGTAAATATCTCAAGTAATTGATGCGGAGTTATTGGTGGGGAAGATGAAATTTTAATTTCATAGAAAATAATGAAATTGAAATTATATTTTGAGATTGCAGGAAGTGCTTTATTTAAATGCAATTTGATAAAGAAATTCTCCTGTTTAAGTGAATCTCTCTAGGTTTCTGTATAAAACAAATCAGTGCGAAGCATATTCAGTTACATCGTAAAATTAATTAGATCATATTCAAGTTCCAAGTCAAATTGATGATGCCTATATCACATTTAGATTAAATAAGATAAATATAATGAATTTTTCTAGTGGATATTTGTAAAATTCCACAACATTCGGCTGTTGTTTCATTATCTTTTTAATATCAACGTAACCATTGGAATTAACCCAGTAATTGTTCGAATTGATTCATTTAACTAAAAAATGAATTTAAATTCATGGCATCAGATATAGCACCATTCTTCTCTTTTAAACGCAGTATCTGTTTTTCATAACTGCTCAACTTTATCACTCGTTCCATCTCAAATTACATTAATTCTCGATGCAGAAAGGACGCAGAATCGTTGCAACATAATTCCAGTCAAAATTTTGTCAAAATTTCCATTTGCCTTGAGACTATTAATTATTCTGCAGCATAGTTTTCCCTGTTAATGTTTATTTTCCCTTTTGGAGTGTTACTTTATTCGATTCAAAATAAATGCCTCAGTAATAACTATTAAATATTGGCCTCGTGGAATGAAATTTTTATGATGGGTGATATTTTGGTGTTATTTTCTTTCTAATCTAGAAAAGCAGTGACATCAACTCAGCAGATGGAATGCAATTGTTAGATATTGTCCGTGGTACTTCTGGTACTTCTGGTACCATGGACAATATCTTCTGGTGAGGACAGCCGAGCAACGATTTTTGTTTCTGTGCAATTACGGGTAACCCTGATGAAAACTGGTTCTTTGTTTTGAATTGCCTTTTTTATGTTTCAAGATATCCTGGATTCTACAGCTATATATTTCTGGTGGCTTGATTTTACAAACATATTTGCAAGTTCTTCTAATCAATTCAATTTAGTTCTTAATGGGGCATGAATAGAAAGGCACACCGAAATGTTTAAATTGAAATGTTAACAAGAACAAAACTTCATTAGTTCATTTTTTTAAGCAACAAGTGCTAGTAAATCAATATTTTCGATTTCAGGTTAGCAATACTGATTATGTCTCATGCATTGATTTTGCGAAGATTATAAAATGTACAAAAACATCAGAGTAAACTTTCGCCTTAATCTAATTGTTTGTATCCATTTCACTACATAATAACAGATTAGAGCAATTTTTAATGTTAATTTGTTTATTTAGAAATTATGACCATTTCATTTCAATTAATCATCGAAACAAACAAGTAGTTTCCGACGTTTGACACACCCTCAAAGAATTTTGCTGCCTTTTTCAGTATGTGCTTATACTTACGTCGGAATATGTGTCCCATGCAAAATTTTCTTCTCCTTATTTTAATTTGCGCTTTTCCGTCGAATCTTTGGGTAAGCAATGAATGATTTTTCATGGTTAAATTTAACGTACGTTAAATTTAACAACACGAACAAAATACAGTGAATGATTATCGAACCATTATTAGTTGTAAAAGCATTCCAATCTCGTGTTGCCAAATTGTATTTTAATCTAGTCTCTTAGGTTAATCCATTTAGGAATCTAGAAACTAAACCTCATCAAAACATATTAGTATAAATTTTTCAGGGGGAGAATATCACGCAAGGTTCAAGTGAAGGTCACGTTGGAAATATGACAGGTACAGTGCTACATGATAGCCAGTTGTCACCGTTTGATGCAGTATTACGTGCTAATAAAGTGAATTTAATTGCTCTTGAAACATTCGGAGAATTAAATCAGTTTTGGGGTAATGTAATTCGACTGTTGCTACCAGTATCTGAACAAATTGAACATGGATTATTATCATTCATACGTAAAATTTTCCCTCAAATATTTGGTGATTTGAATCCCTCGGATATCGCAATAGATAGAGTGACTCGCCCACCAGACCAATCAAATTTGTTGATTAAAGAATTGATTGATGCTTTCATGTTGAGTTTAGCCAAAGCAAATTTTACACTTTGATTCAGTGCACCGCTTGACCAACTTCTTTTCAGTTAATTTTCCTAAATTAAAGTGACCATGCTTTATTAGTTCCGCCATTTTTACACATTCATAAAATTTATTTGAAATTAGAATTGCAACTTTAATTAGGTGTTTTCTTTCTCCAGTGTCATAGTAATTAATTAGATAAAGTTGACTAAATATTGTTAGTTAAACTATTTATCCTTCTAATTTTATGTATTGAAAAGTATTGAAATAAATATTTACGAATATACTGTTATTTCAAATCCAGCACTGCTTGAAAAATACATATTTTGACCAATTCAAATCCAGCACCGTCTGAAAAATATATATTTCAATCAGCTCAATCTGAGAAATGGAAAGTACTGTAGAGCAAGAATGTTTTATTATTTCATGCTAAAAACAAGCACTGTTGAAGTTTTATTTAGAAGTATTTTTAAAAAACGACAAATTTGTCTATTCTAAAAATTATCAAAGCTTTCCGAATAAATGCTTCCTAATAATATGTGAAAGATAAGTTTCAATTTTATCATTATTTATTTCAAAAAAAACATTTCTCATATGCGCAAATTCAAATTTGTATTGATGAGAATGAAAAGCGCAATTTTTTGAATTGAGAAGAGAGAAGGTCACAAATATGGAATAACGGTGGAAGTAATAATTAGTTGTATTCTTTGGTGTTGTCTGCTGGATGCTATTCGTCTTTTATGGCCATTATTGTCTTACTAATTTATTGATTGATCTTTAAAGAATTTCTTTTATTGACAAAAATTTCTTTGGGGAGAGAGGTCTCTAAGTGTTCTGGGTTTCGTTTTAATTGGATGTTTTTTTTTTTTTTTTTTCTTTGCATTTTTTGTTTTTAAATTGGTTGATTTTCTATTTAATGTAAAGGCAGAGGGATGGCTTTTGAGATATAAGACTTAAGACTTTGAAAGTTTTGGGATATAATATATAATCTTTAATTGATTTCTAAATGGAGTTACAGTGAAAGTTATCGTAACTAAATATTGTGTTATGAATGAATGTGACAATTATAAGTTTATATTCAAATGTGGTAGTTACTGCTTTATGTATTTTGTAAAAAAAAAAAGTATATGGATTGAACTATATAAAGCACGAAGATATATCGTCGCCTTCTTGGATAAGGTGGAGAGGAGATTGGAGGGACTATGAAGATGAAGAGATTCTCCTGCAAGAAGGTAGTTGACACTGGTTGGTTGTTAGGAGATTATCATATATTTTTGCTCTTCGTTGCAAATGTATAGTGAAGTAGTCGGAATAAGCATTGAGCTTTAATTGCTTGGGCAGTCAAATGTTTGTGGCCACGTGAAATAGACAAATTATGCTAAATTAAATATATTTTAGATCGGATTTTTGACGTATTGTGAGGGAAGCAGCGAATTGCACGGTGTGAGAAAGTTGGTGAGTTTTAGTCTTAATAGTATTGAAAATAGTTATGTGCTTGTAGTTTACGGTGAGATGTACAAAGCTTGGCTTTCGCTTTTGTTTGCATCCAATCCAAAATGATCACAAAATTACCACAATTTGTACACCAATATGGGGTATCTGCGCCAGACAGTTTGGAACAGTAAAGAGATAGCAAATTAACAGCAAAAGTAGTTTCTCAAAAACTTTCTATCATTAATTTCACTTAAAGATCAGCAAGCTCATTGACCCAATTTCTTTTCTTGCTGTAACCTTAACCTCTAGCTGTACCTGCAGTGACCTCTAGTTGCTATTTATGGCTACACAGAAAGCAGCGGTATACAAATTCATGTGCCTTCAATTAGGGAAAGTGTTGCTCACTAAACGAAATCGCCTCAAATTTGATCCTCTGATGCGAGAAGATTTATAACGCCTTTTCATTCCAGTGATAAGCTGATGATTTTTATGAGTTGAAATTTAAAAGTTAAAGTAGAAAATCAAAGTGATTGTAAAAAGTAAAATATTTGTAAAGTCAATCTCATTCATACCTTCCAAGTCAATGAATTTTTCTTTCAGACAAGGAGAGATGCAAAAACGACGAAGCTTTGGGCCTTTAGAAAAGGAAAAACAGCAGAGAAGATGGAACAACGAAAAAAAAATATATAGAGCGAGAGAGAAAAGGTTAAGAAATGGGATTTTTTACACTTTTTATGGTTTGTGTATTTTTTTTTTTCCGGATTAACTTACTGATAAGTCTTTACTTTTGTATAATCGAATTACGCAATGAATTTAACGCTTTGGGCTCATCAAGCTTAAGTAAACCAGCATTTCTTTTATCATCAACCCTTTCGGTTTTGGTCATATATACTGCAGTTGTAATGTACAAGCCACTGTAAAAATGAGCTTATAAAATACAAACGAAGCAAGTGTAGAATAAGTATAGGAACTGGAATGATATTATATTAAGTTGCAGTTGACAAGATAAAAATTTTATATTTATCAAATTACATCGCTGGAATTTTCAGACACCTAATATTCTGTTTTACCGAACTACACTTCAACAGCCAGTGGCATATTTCAATAGGCTCCAAAACTTTGCTTTGATGTTACTCTTTCAGTTCTTTTTGCGTCATAAATTTAGGAATCCAAATGAGATTTTCAGGTGCTGTTTTAAAGAATAGAAAATAAACATTTGCACATAAATAGCTTATTGCAAACAATAGCTAATCAGGGTTAAGTGATTGCTGATAGACCTTCATGTGTCGCCAACATGATCACAACTGCACATTTCTGTGAGTTAAGCATTTGCGCATTATCGACGACAACAATTGTACATTCCTGCAGCCTGAAGCATAGCAGTGATCCTCGAGCGATTTTAAACAGTGACAAAGTTTTGAAACCTTTCAAAATACGTACCCCACTAGTCTTTCCTGTTGACATACACCATTTTCAATGTAATAATTTGCATGACCATGCATAAATATGCAACTGTTATCCTTCCATGTTGCAAAAATGCGCACTCAAATGAACTGATAATACGGAAATGTCGTTCTCTAACCGCTTCAGGTTACACAAATATTCCATGCAATTAGTAACAAAATGAATGCTCAAAATAAGCTAACATAATCGATTACTGAATATCGATTAGTGATTAAAAATAATGCACTGTCTGCTAATAAGGCGGAAATAATCTCTACCATATTTCCATAAGGTTTTAAAAATGATATGATTCTAGTTGGTAATTGGTAATTGATTTATAAATTTCTAGTTGGTAATTGATTTATAAACTTTCTAGTTGGTAATTGATTTATAAACTGCTGTTAATGCGTATATATTCATCTATTATGGTTTATTGTAACATCCCGTACTAAGAATCGATTGCGCTTGTAGATGAAAGATTTATTACAATTTATTGTTTAAATTTTTCAAAATTTGCAGTGCAAATCTGCTTATTACTCCCAAAAATGATTGAATAAATCTTTGCATTGAAATTAATTAAAGTTTTCAATACTGATAATTGAATAAACTTAAACTGTTTGTAAAATGAAATGAAAGGCAAAGGGGCCCTAATATCGTTAATATTTTGAAAATTCTAGTGTTTAAATGAACATTATTTGAGTAATGTAAGCCGTACTTACATTTAACAAAACCGATTTTGCATTATATGTATTTTTTGAACTTTTCCAAAATTCCACCAATACCACAAAAAACAATTTTAATTGATTTCCAGAATAATATCTGAAGAGTATAACTTATTTTAATGGAAAAAGAAAATTATTAAAGAAAGATTAATTAAGAAAAGGTTAATTTGTAATAAGAAATTTATTAAATTGTAAAATTATTTCTAAACATATGAAATGGAATTACTAAATTTTGTATGATTTCAAAAGTCGTAGCTTTATGTATGATCGTATCAGCTATGTTTATGTTTTATTCTTATTTTCCTTAATTTGTTTACTGTGGTCATGTATGTCAGTGATCAGAACAATACTGTAGCTGAATCGATATGAGGTATACATTTACGGTTTTTCAAATCGATTTGGATTTCAATTCTGTGTTACGAAAAAATTTTTTAAATCATCTTCAATTACAACATAATAGTGGAAAATTTGATGCTTTGAATTTAGCCTTATGAGTTCTTTGTATTTATGAGTGGAAAATATTTTTATACAAATCTTTGCAAAATAATTCTCTGAGAATATCATATCTCTGTTTTGCTAAACCCTTGCTGTTAACCAAAAAGACTATGATGATGCAATCCATACCTTTAAAAGTAACAGAAATATCTTAACGTGCTCTAAATTTAATAAATTTAGATTATATTATGATTGCTACATCAATCAAGATTCATTTATCCATTCGATTTGGAAAGGAAATTTGTGTTTCGGTAAAAGACGTATAAAAGTTAATTTTATTACAGTTAAAGAATTAGGAAAATTGAAATCCTTTTGAAAGGAATTTTTTGAATGTCATGAAGTCACTGACATAATGAACATGAAACTGCAGAGAGTAACTTAGAAACTACTGATAGATATGGGTACTCTCTCATGAATAATAAAAAAATGAAACAATATACAAGCGCAATATAGTGCTGTGACAGCTATGAAACAAAAAAAATGACATTCACCTAAAAAAAAAGATGCCACGAGGATTGGTTTTTTGGAATATTGCTTAGAATTGCGGAAATACATCTAATCACTTTACATTACTCATGTGAAGAGGTAATAGTAATTATGTTGAAGTGTTGCAACAATCAAGAATTAAATAACTGCTCAAAATTACTTTATAAGCCAATTTGGAAATATTTTTTGATGACAAATTTAGATATTTATACAAAGTAGTCTTTATATCTATAAATTCATCTTCATACACTGATTTTTATTTACAAAAGTCAATCAAAATTATTGCATGGATCTCGAAACAATATTTAATTCTTTTGTCCAATACTTCCTTGAATACTGATCTAGGATGAGTTCGATTTTTCGAGATACATCTTCTAGAGATCAAATTCGAAAACTTGAAGAAGTATTCTTACAGTGAACGAACATTCTATCTTGGTAAGCAAATCGACCATTTATGGGTTGCTAAGAAATTTTAAGAAATTTGTCAAAATAAGTTCACATATGACACGTATTACCCGATGAACTTTCACGCTTGCAGTTATAGTAATTATTATTCAATTTCATTTCTAATAACTTTTAATACTTTTTATTGTCATTTATTAAAATCTAGTTTTCTAGGTCCCAACAACAAGCATTATATTGATCAAAAAACTTCCAAAAGCTATCCCTAAAAGCAGGTTTTGATAAAGTATATAAAATAATCATTCGATTTTCTGTATTAGTTTAGATTAAATTCATTTTTATTCTCATATTTTCATATGAATCTAATTTTAAATTTATGAAAAACATGTATTTATTACTGAAGGGTGAAACGAAAATGAATAATCAATCAAAACTCATTTTGAACCATATTTTTTGGAGAGCCTGAGAAAATTTATCAAAATTTTTTCTTGTTTTCGATGTTTAATTTTCAATTTGTAGTTTAATCTTTATTAATCTTCACCATTTTTTTTTTAGTTAGTTACAATTTTTTTTAGCATGGAAATCATGACTGTTAAAATGCTTTATCGAATTTGTCCATTACGTTGTCACAGTTTTTTGTAAATCTCTTGATACATCTAGAGTTCTTCAAAATGTTTTACTTAATTCATTTAGCGATAGTTGAGAACAAAATAGATGAAAAAATGGACCTTGCATTGGTGTAAGTTGAAACTAAATTTTTTTTCTCAATAGCTTAGATAATCAATCAGTCGTTAGTATTTCATGATTTATTCAAATTACATTAATATTTTGAGTAATGGGACTGTGTTGGATAGATAAGGTCATGAGGTCAATGTTTCCTTTATTGGCAGCTGTTGCAAATAATTGTGCACGAGCCTGTACTTCAGCTAAGAATGATCGAACGAATAGAAAGAAATGCAAAATGAACAGATCAAGAAAAGAAAAGTTAAACTCGTCATATTGCTCTATGTTGCATTTATAAAGAACGTTTTTGTGTAATCAAACGATTTAATTTTTTCCTTTAATAATTCTTTTATTCGTTGCTTTTTAACGACTGCAAAGATAAATGGGAAATTAAAGGTAATCAAATATGAATAGAATCCTTAAATAAGTGGAAAAAAATTAATCTTAAGCTTGCCAATATTAAATACAGCTTATATCGGTTTATTTGATTTTTTTTTCTTTAATTATCAAGCAAGAGAGGAAATAACGAGCTAGGAGTGACTGCCATTGGTGAGATAGCTATATTTTTGGTTGCTAATACTGAAACCAAACAAAACACACTTGTTAGAAATCCTCTGCTTCATCATGTCAGTCACTTGCTGATTAGTATGAAAAAAATATTTTTGCGGAAAAAAATGGCTATGGAGAGAAAAAGTTAGATTTAACAAATTTCTCAAAAGTTAAATTTTATTGTTTATTCTACTTTATTACAATTCTTTCTTTTTTCCTGAAATTAATTTGTAATAAAGAAATAAAATTTCAATAGAATATTGCAGTTAAGAATTCGACAATAGACAGTGGAAGAAAAGAAATATTCACAATTTTTTACAATAAATTGCAGCTACTATTCTATTATAGACTGGTTTAATCTTCGGAATTTTCATGGCTTTTTAAAACGAGCAAGATTTTGGGTTAGCAAAAGACTGATCATCAAACAATTAGCTATTAATGAATTTTGACTTAAATATTTGGATCAAATGAGTTAATAAGTGCATCGTGTAGCTAATTATCATGCAGATAATATAGTTTAAAAAAAAAAAAAAAGATTTTTTAATTAAAAACACATAATCATGGGAGGAAAGACAAAAAATGAATGCATAGTTGTAGCATTAAGTCATCGTATACAAGTTTATAGAATCCTAAAAAGATGCAAGTTTTAATACAAGCTTATCCTAATCAACTTTTAAGCATTTACTTGTAGTATTTTGAGTTCCTAAATCTTCTACACAATTATTTCTGCTTAAAAATGCTGCGGAAGGAATTTTGGCAATTTTATAGATGAAAATAATTTCAGTCTTTTTATACAGTTTCCTAGATATAGTCATTATTTTTTGCAATAATCCTTTCATTCATTTGTTTTAATAACTGATATGTACATATCGGGAAGTGAAATTGACCATAAGTACTTGGAAAGAACTAGAATTTATTATGGTAATTTGTATTTTCTTAAAAAATTCTATGAATTTTGCATACGATAACTTTTTTTTCTTGTTCATTTGTATCACCAAATTTCCATTTCATAACTAAATTTTGCATTCTAAATATATTATCAATAACAGATGCTAATTTTACAATTGCAATTGTTAGTATTAAAAGCAGAAGTCGAATTTATTTAATAGTTTTACTATAATTTAATAAATGATTGAGTGAGATGTTCCTTAATTTGAATACTAAAATTGTTAAGATGAAAGTGTTGTAACTGACAACATAACATACAATGATGGCAATAGATAGGAATGACAGAACTTTTAGTATGATAAAAATTTTGATATAACAATAAAAGTTTTAACACAAGAAAAATTTCCAATATCAGAAATGAATTTTAATAATGCTTTTATTACGTATAGATTATTTTCTTAAAAACGATAACTTAACAAATGTGAATATGGATTAAAATTATTCAGTGATAATTTCCAATATTAACCATGTTGACATCATTTGTATTCCACTTTCTGTTATTCAACTATTTTTTATCCGACCTTATTATTATCTATATTTCATGATTTTTATTTATGATATCTGATTATATTAATATCTCTAATTTTACATGAATAGTGACAGTGTTCTCATCTTTTCATAAAATTCCGTAAAATACATAAAATATTTCATAAAATTAAACATCATATTGTTCTATTAAAGTGACATTACCTGAGCTTTTGCTGAAATAGAATTTTAGAGTTTTCAAAAATTGGGACTATCTAATTAAATACTAATTGGACCGGTCTTAAAGATTTCTTTTGCAAAATTAACTTTAAAAAGATTATCTTGTAATTTAATTTTTCCAATTAGATAATTGTACGGCTTCATTCCACTCATCTCTTTCATCACAACACAGAATTGTCCCATTGCATTTCCACAAATATTTCATTTCACTATCATTTTCAATCTCATTGACTTTTTTTGTGAAATACTATTTCATCCATTTCTCGCTATCAATTCAATCTTATTGAATTTTTTTTAATCATTAACAAGATTACAAACCATAAATTTACCATTAATTGCATCATTCATCAATTTCATTGCTTTACTCGGATATAAATTTCTCATCTATTGTAATATGTAATCTCCCAAGTGTAAGCAAAGTGAAAAATGTCACAATTTAATCAATACTAATTCTTCCCTAGACTATTTCCCAATTTTTCTTTGAAAATTTTACTTCCAATGAATTTTTGTTTTGCGGTTATATTTTCATCCACCATCTAAAGCAGCTATATCGGCAGTTTTTAATGCTATATAATTGAATCGAAATAAATTTAATTTATTTCAGTCATGTTCATGTCACATAAGCTTTCAAATTAACCGATCTAATAATGTGACATGAACTGATACATTGATGGATAGTGCGCATATATTTTTTGAAAGTATTACTTCTCTCTTGTGATAATTCAAGATGGACAACTGCTTTACGTGTGCAAATGGTTGAATGATGAATGTGTTTGGATGTATTTTTTTCAACAATGTAATTTGGATGTAATTTTTTAAATAATAAGATTGAGATGCAAATTTTTGGAACAACATAACTGCATACTGCTCTTCACTCCTTCATTCTTAGTTCATTTCATTTAATTTTCTTTCTCCAAAACTTTATATTTCTAATGTGATTATAATTGATAAATGTATGATTATAACTGATATATGAAGCTTTCAAATACAATTCAAACCAATGCATCAATGTTTGAATTTACATACTTTCTGCTTTTTTGAATTTTTATTTTAAGCTAATTCATTTGCAAAATTTATTCATTACTCAGTTTTATTCTTCTAATCTTATTTGATAAGATATAGCAATAATTATTGCTATATCTATTATTGGTTGCAGTGTTTTCTTATTTTATATCAACTGCTCATAATGCAGCTGGGGAATAATATAAATGTGAAAATATATTTTTTTTTTTTTTTTAATGAGTTGTTTGTGATAGAATGATTAGCGAAACAATGATTGCTGCATTTCCAATGTTAATTAATCACCAGCTGTTCCAAAAAGCTTTCCTTTCCTTGTCATATTCTTGTTCACTCCATTTTTCCTTCTTTTTAATACTGTCTTTTCTCGCATTCTCGATCCTTTATGCACCCGATTATCAGAATATTTTTGTTATTTATCTCTAACTAAATTTTTTATTTTTTATTTAATGATTCAAATTTACAAATATTTTTGCTTTTTGAGAGATCATGTGCTACAAGTTTTATACATCATTAGGATTATAAGGCTATTTAGCTATTCTGTTATTGCGCAAATGTCGTTAACATATCCTATCATCGGTCTTCTTCCATAAGTACATGAAACAATCCTTGTCAATAACTTCGGATGCTTTTTAACGTCTTCTCTTCGACATATTTTCAAATCTTAAAAGCTTCAGCATTTAGCTAGTAGATGATAACTTTATGCCTTCAATTGTTCCAATCCCATCACTACTATCTTTTTTTTTTTTCAAAATTCACAATTCAGCTCTTGATAAATGGAACTTTGTATCAATAACCTGTCAACGTCCGGTTTCTTCAGCAACAACGCTTTGGAATTCATTCACCAAGTTTCAACAAATCCAATTCTTATTACTTTTAAAGTGGAATGAAATATCACAGATGTTGCATTTCAAGTTTTTTTTAGAGTTTTTTTTTTTTTTTTTTTTTGAAACTTCAGTTGGTATACTCAGAATTTTTTTTTATTTTCTTGTAGTTTAGAAAATTATTTAAAAATTTTATTCGGTTGACTAGTGATTTACAACTAAAAATGTTCAAAAATTTTTGAATTCCAATCTATCTCAAATCTTATCCACTGTAATTCCCAAATATATTTGATGTTGATGCGATCTGTTATTTTCAAAATAATTATGCAATAAAGCTCCATAGGTGAAGATTAATGATTTTAATGGGCTCAAATCGATCATGATCAAAAGAATTTATCCTGCTTAGTAATTCAGTCTTCTACGTAACGTCCTATATTCGTTATTATTACATTGATACGTCAGATACGTCATATCATTGGCAAGATAAATATGGTCATCAGTCATTCATCCTATATTTCACTATCATTACTATTATCATAATTTGAATTATGAGTATTGGTGTTGGTGATGCATCTGCTGTACTACCTCCAGCATTACTGGCACGACCTAGCGTACGTCGGGGCTCCGTTTTTTCGGATTTGGTAACAATTTTTCGCCGAGGTAGTTCGCATCCAAATCGATTGATCCAGCGTCTTTCACGTCCATCAGTTAAACAATCGACAGAAAGCAAAAAGCAGTAAGCTATTTCTTTTAACACAATTATTATCAATTATAGCTACGATTATCGAATTTCGTGATCGTCTCAATTTTTTTTTTTTTTTTTTTGCTGTTACTAATACTACTGTTATTGCTTCTGGTTGATAACGATAATGATAATAAGCTATGTCAAAATATGGATACAATATTGTCGCAATAAATGAGTGTAATAAAGCTAGGAGTTAAATAATGCCTGTTAATTATTTCGATAGCATTTGCTTAAATTGTTAGATATAAATTTAATAATAGTATTTGCTTCTTACTAACATTTTAAATTGTTATCAGTCGAGTCCTACCATTAAACCTGTATCTCAGTACATACACAACGCTTGTTACAAGTAACAGCTGTGAAGTACGTTTGGGAGGGAGCAAAGAAAGAATGCTTTTCATTAAAATTTAACAATCAATCCTTGTCAACAACCACTATCGATATGTTAGTTTTTACTACATTTTCATCATTAATTAGTAAAAGTTTATTTGTTTTTTTTTTTTTTTTTTTTTTTTGAAAACTTCCCAAAAAAAAAAGGAATATGGAATTATCATCATCGTAATTCAATAAAAATTATGTGGTTTTTAGGTAATTGAGAAGACACAATTAAATATTTAAATTAAGCTAAAAATTTTGAATTCATATTTAAATCATAATGTTTGTTACCATATTTAGAAAGAAGGGGAAAGAAATTTAGTCTGAGTTAGAACATACAATTATTAAGTGAGTGTATTAATTATAATAAAGAAAATGAAATTTGAAAGTAACAAAGACAAAAGAACTATCAGCACCTGATATTTGTTTTTTTTGAACAACGAGTAAGTGTGAGTTTAATAAATGAATTTATCCTAGCGATTCCATGAAATAAATCTTAAAGACAACGTTAGATTAAATAATTTGCTTTCAATTAATTGATTTTAAAGAAAAATTTTTAATCTGATAATCATCGAATTATTTTATTAATATTATTGGCACTGTCATCCTATCAATATCGTCCTTTCTCTGATAAGTTAATGCAATTTAATCAATACGGCAATTACTGTTCATTAAACCCGTTTGTTCAAATTAACAATGATTGTTTGAAATGAACATGAAGTTTAGGTATGCTATTTGTAAAAATGTTGACGAATCATTATTCGTATCTCAAAGAGAAGAAATTACTATTATTATTATTAGCATAAAAAATTGTGGTGATTACGGATGGGTAGAAGTTAACATATTGAATTTAAAGATTAGATGGAGGAAATTGTTATGCAAATTAATATTTTAGGGAAACCGGAGAATTTCTTAAGCCAGCAGCATACACAAATGAACCATACCAAGAAGAGGAATCAGAAGAGAGTAATCAGCCAATGAGTCGCCAAGTATTATTGGACAAAATCCGAGAGAAAAAAGAAGTAATTGGAAAATTACGTTGTCAGCCATGGAATATGAATCGTAAGCGACGAACTTTACGGTAATTAGCATATTCATTTCATTTTATTTCTTAAATTTTATCAACTTTTGATAAGATATTATAAAATAAGATTTAAAAAAATATTGCAAAAAGTTCTTATTTTAGCAATTGTCATTTTTTGTTCAGTTTTATCATTAAATTAAAAAATTTAAAAAAACTAACAAGTACGGTACTATGAGTTTTATGGTTGATATTTTTTTTTTTATAATAACAATTATTCAAGATATATAGTCATGATTAGTTATAGCATTATAAATAAAGTTATTTCAAATAAAAAAAGCTTGAAAATTGATGTATAAAATATTAGATTAAAATTTTTCCTCTAAGTTTATATTGTTATTATTTATTTTTTTTAAATAAAAATTTAACACTATTTCTAGGTGAAAAACTACGTATTTCTATGATTTTTTACAACCGAACTTGAATAAAAATGTTATTTTACATTAATATCATTCTGAATGAATTAATTAATGCTTTTTTTTAAGCTCTCATCAGTTCTCACTGTTAATTATTGATGCTTAATAATTCATAAAGTTTTTGAAAAAGAAATTTTTTTTTCAAATTGTATTAATATATCAATAAATTAAAATGAAGAAAGCTCAAAATACGAATGGTTGTTTATAAGTAACTTCTACTTAGAGTTGTAGGAGATAAGTGGAATTTTAGAATCCACTTTTGATTTTTTAAACGAACTGATCATTCATATCATTAGTATCATAATTTGAGAAAAATGGAAAAGTGATTAAAAATTTCTCATTGTTATGCTATTATTTTTAATTAATCATAAATATTGACATTTCAATATCTAACCCAAACTCAAATTGCTTCAATTATTCTTTTTTTTTTTTTAATAGATTAGCGCAGAAATATGTGGCGCAACACGAATCACGGGTATCTAAGACACACTTATTAAAAGTGGAATTGAAGAAAAGATGGGGTGCATTCTGTCGCTGGGCTGATAACGTCAAAATTTACTTAATACCATGGGAAGCTAAAATTAAACGCATTGAAAGTATGTTCTTTAAGTTAAAGTTAAAATTTAACCATGCATTCTACCAAATTCTTTTAATCTCATCTATATATTCTAATAAATAGTTTTGCTTAACAAAACCTTTAAAGTTATCGTTTATTTTAGGTCATTTTGGATCTGTGGTATCCTCATACTTCACGTTTCTTCGTTGGATTGTTTACGTAAATTTGATAATTACCTTAATTATAATCTCATTCATCGTCATTCCAGAGGTTTTCTTTTAGCCTTTTTTTTTTTGCTGATATTAGTGAAATAACTTCAATATTTAATTCCTTTTATATTATGCAGTTCTAAATTAAGTTAATAACAGTGAATTCCTTAATTCATTATATTTTAAACTGAATAAACAGAGAAGCCTTAAGAAAATGACCCAATTTTTCATTGTAGAATGCTTTTTTGTTTATGATAATAATCAAAGTAACACGTGAGTACAAGATGCTACATTACTTGAAAACATTATGTGGAAACGTTAATCAGCACTTTAGCTGGAAGAAATAATATGAAAATAAATTTTCATTAATTTTCGACTTATTTGCAGATGCTAGCGGACGCTGCAGCAGATCCGAATCGCATGAATCGTACTGCATCAAGGAAAATTATTCCATCACAAGAATTAGTACATGCGGATGAATTACAAGTCGTCTCAAATTTTGATGTACTTTCTTGTTTATTATTGACATTATCATCTTCTTAGAAAAATGATGCTTGGCCAATTAGGCCAATTAATTTCCTCAAAAGTTAGAATTTTCGTAAACTATACAATTCTATAATATAATTGTAGCTCTATAATCGTTCATTGGTAATATATTATCATAAAAAAAAAAGCACTTAATGTAACATTTAGAAGACATAATAAAATAGATTATTTTTTGATTATTCCTTAAATTTTTTTATTTTAATTTGATAATTTTGAAGAATTTCGTAGTTCGAACTTGAAAATTTTTGTGATTTGAAATGAATCCAAAGATTAAGTTAGCAAAATGCAATGAATGGAATTATTATAAAACTTAAAATCCTTTCCTTTCCTCAAACTTATGAATAAACAATTTACATTCACTATCATATCATATCAATGAATGATTATTCAACACATCACATTACATTTTTCGTTATTGCAGGGCTATCTTAAATATTCACCACTATTCTACGGTTATTACAGTAATGATGAATTTGTTGGAGCACGGGTACGATATGCTGTACCACTAGCTTATTTTATCATTACTTTATTTGTATTCGGATATAGCTGCTTTGCAATCCTTAGGAAGTTAGCATTCTTTTTTTTTTATTTGTTTCTCTAAAAATTTAATATTTTTGGAGAAAGGTAATAATTTTTGTAAATGATACAGTAATTAAAAGAAGTCTGTAAAACTTTTTCTTTTTCCTTTTTTTTTTTTTGAGAAAAAAGTTTTTAATTTAATTGAAGTCTTTAGTTAAAAACTTTGATTTACAGAGTTTGATATATGTCGAATCCAGTTTCCAGTTTTTAATTAAAAATTGAAAAGCTTAATTGGCTTATATAATTTATATAGCAAAACTTGAAGAAAGCAATTAAATAAGACTCAAAAAAATTTTTTTTTTTTTATTTTCCAAAATGCTAAATTTTTTTAGTGTGAAAATTCTTTGATTAACTTAGCATTTCTTAAAATGAGCATGAATTAGATTAAAATATGGGAAGAGGAAATTTAGATTGAAATATTTTTAACGATTCTTTTTTACAGAATGGCAATGAACGCTCGCTTAAGTAAATTATCAGATAAAAAAACGGATCAGTACATATTCAGTTGGAAGTTATTTGGCGGTTGGGACTATACGATCGGTAATAGCGAAACAGCCAGTAATACTGCTATGGCTATTGTCATCAAACTTAGAGTATGTCTATCTGTTTACTTCGCTCTACAAATGAAATTTATTCATTTTCATTTGGATTGTTTTTCTTCAGATTTAAACTAATTTATTTGATAATATATTTGCATATATTATAGGAATCAATTATGGAATGTCGAGTAAACTCGGAGAAAAAATTTAAACCGTTACTTTTCTTGGCTCGTGTAATAGCGAATGCTATCATTCTAGCAATGCTTGCATTTTCCATTTATACGATCTCATTTGCTGTTCAGACATCAGAAACAGTCGAGAAAACTGGCAATTTATTCACAAAGAATCAAGTCTCTTTTAATTTCAAAATGATAATAAAATGTTTCTTAATAATTTTTCATATTTAATTATTCTTAGATTTATACTATTACTTTCTAAAATAGTAAGAAATATTATTGTAGTAGCAGGAATGATTGGAATCTTATTAGTAGTTCGAGTTATTTTTTCACCGTTTGAATTTTATCAAAAGTTTCTTTCTAACTTCGAAAGTGAGGTGTTATCATTAGAATGTCAATCAATTTCTTATCACAAGTATATTAGTAAAGTACTTTTAGTATAAAAACGAAATTTGTTGCTTTTCTTGAATTAAGCAAATATTTTGGTAGTGTGTAGGTACCCACAATAATTGCCACCATAACCAATGTTTTTCCAATGATTTTTGATCTTATCGGTCAAATTGAAAGATATCATCCACGAACAGCGCTTCGAGCACATTTAACAAGGTATGAAACAATCACAATTCATTAATAGCGTTAGTGATTATACCTAACACTTAAGTTTGACTTCTATATTTTTTAAAAAAATGAAAAAAAAATATAAAATTACAGAAAAATTTCTCATGAATGTCCGAAATTGTTGAAATTATTAAAATATTTTTGGCAATAAAATAATTTAAATTCTTTAAAAAAAACAATAAATAAATATGTGAAAAATTAATGACTTTCTTACTATCACTTTCAGAAGCATAAATGAAATTACAATGATTAAAACTGAAGGTTAGAGTGATAAATTTATATGTAAGCTGATAAGTTTCATTATTTTTTATTGTTTATGTGGATGGAATAAGATATGTTTGAAATTGATAAATAAGACAATTTAGAGTTTTGGTTCTCTATGTGCTCAACTATATTACATTTATCATAGCCCTATTTGAAAAGCTTGATAAAATTCGTGATGATGAATTGATGAAAATTATTAACGAGCAAAATGCTATGGTATTCGTCTTTCTATTTTTCATTTCAATAGAATGATCTCATTTATTTTGTTCTTTTGAGATAATTTGTCAAACATTCATCTCATTCATTAATTCTTATCAGTATTTTCTATGGTAAATGATAAATTTTGTGATAATAAAGAAAATCAGTCCATCAGAATATTATTATTATCATTACATTTGTATAATTTTGAAAAAAAAAAAAGAAAAAAAAAGCAGGATAAAATTGCTATATTTCATTATTTTCTTATTTTTAATCTTTCCAACATTTTTCAAACGAATAAAAAAGGTTTTTTCTTCTCCTAATTTGAAATTTCAAATGCAACTTGTAAACTAAATATTTTTAATTGCAGTTTCTTCATGATGAGCAGCAATATTCGACATCAACCAAATTTCACAGTCGTAATTTTGTTAATACTGAACAAGCTAATATGTTTGCTAAGACATCTTTAGAACGTTTCTCCAATCTGTACCAAAAATCATCGTTTACTAAGGATGAAATACGTCAAAAACGTCAAACATTGTATAATATAAAATCATCAGCTAAATTTCCGGCTGGTACCATAGTTAGTTCATAATTTTATCATTTCTAATTTCACTATGTGTGAGCTATAGATTCAAAAAATTTCTGAAGAAAAAAAAAAATAAAAGTGTCAGTGATTCATTAATTGGAAATTGAATCTATCATTTTGATTCATCCTTATTTCTTTTATCTAATTCAATTAAATCACAAAAAATTTTTTTCATATATCCATAATTTACATTATGTAATTATACGTATACGTATTTTTAATACACGTACGTAAACTGTACATATTTTTAATCAAATTTTTCAATAGTATTTTAAATATGTATCCGTCTTTCTTAGGTAGAATCACATTATGGTCCTATTGGTTTAAATAATCCAAGTGCATTGCTAGCTAATAAAAGTTATCCATGGCAACAAGGAAGATTTCAAGCAATACGAATTGGTCCACCGTCACTCCCAACTTTTCCAATCCCACCTCTTCCACCTAATCCAACCTTAAATACCAGTGTCCTTACCGTATGCATTTTTGTTTTTCCTTCTTTTCATACTGTTATGTATTTATATTTTTTTTTACATACGTAAGTACACTGTACATATTTTTAATATACGTATGTGAACTGCACATATTTTTTTAGATAGAATCACATTATGACTCTGTTGCTGTACAAAAAAATATTGTTTTCTTCGCAAATGTATTTATGATTAAATAGTTATTTATTTACAAGTTATATCAATCAATTTTTTTATCAATCATTAATCCATAATTCAAAGTTGAAATCAAAAATTTTTTAAATATTTCCCATATTATTTCTAGGAATTAGGCCCACACTGGCAATTACAATCAATATGGCAATCACCAAAAACTATGATCTTAACGACAGCAGCAGCAACAACAGTAGATACATCGTCACAAGATTCATCAAAAATTGTCGCAAAAACGAAGGCACGGATTCCATGGAGTAATAAAAGAAGACCAAAACCAGCCAAAATATTTATAAAAACAACTTCTGCTCCAATTATAACGTTTGATTCAAAAGGTAACTTATTAAATGATAAATCTTTCTTTTTTTTTAAAAAAAAAAAAAAAAAAAAGATTCTTTTATGATCATTAAAAAATACTTTTTTTTTTTAAAAAAGTGAAAATTGGTGTAATTTTAAAATTTAATATCAGTGATACAAAAGCACTTATATCTCTCATAGATATTTGAAGATATAATTTAAGAACTGATAAAATTTCAGCTGATATAATCCAGGAAAATTATACGATTGCCCCTATAATATCTGATAAAATGAATGAAAATGAAACAATCGTAACATCTTCCAATTCCACCACAGATAATGACACAATGGTGCATATTCATAATATTTGTGAATAATTGAAATGATAATAGATTAGTGTATTTTCACTTCTGTAAATGAAATATAATTGGATATAGATATGATGAAAGTAATATAATAATTAGTTATGGATTCATTTAACAAAATACTAACGTTATAGCATGAATAGTTTAACAAAAACAAAATCAATAAGATGAACTAATAATTAAATTAATTTCTTAGCAAGAATATAAAAATTACAACGAGAAAATTTGTTATATTATTTAGAATGTCATGAAGTTAATGAAAATATGCTGTAGGATGATATATATAATTCTAATTTGGTATTATTTTGCTACATATAAGATATTTTAAATTATATATAACAAAGTTTCGCTCTGCAGTTCCTGTATTCTTGCCAAGAATTTAATTTAATTTTAGTTTAATTATTATTAATTCATTCTAAAAGATGATAATTGTTATTGCATCAGGATAGTATTAGTTAAAATAATATTAATTAAAATAATTAGACAAAAAAATTCATTTACAAATTAAAAGCTATTACTGAATGGAAATTGATGACAAAATTGAGGAGTTAAAGTTTTATTTATTTTATTTCAGCTAGTGATTGCTGTAGATCGAATGGCGGAAGGGATATCAGAGCAGAAGATTTCATCAAATGAATCCGGAAAAATAATTGTTGATGATAGATATTTTAAAGGTTTGTATCATGAAATGTATTGAAACCAATTTTTTTTTTGATATTAACTTTTACAACATAGCTTGGAGTTTCTTACTATATTAAATTATCAAATAAAAATAAAATTTAAAAATTGTGACTGATATTTTCTGCGTTAATTTTATTTTCGAATTTTAATATTTAATCGGTTTTTTTAATCTTTAAGTTTCGACCAAATTAATTTTCATTTTAAATCTCTTGATTTTTTTGATATGCATCGCAATTTTTTATTTGGTTTTTGAATATACTTCAATGTTGTTATTTTTTTTTTAAGTTTTAAATTTTTAAAGAAGCTTTGTTAATTTCTATACTAAAAAAAGGTATGAGGTAAATGTAAAGAGATTTTTTTTTGCAGTATCAAATGATGCGTTTAATAATAGGACACTTTATCAAGCTCGAAAGCAAGCAAGTATAACCATTGATGAGGCAGAAATAGGAACTAATTTTTGTTGGGAAACAATGATTGGGCAGGTAATTAATCACTGTTATCATTTCTATTACTGATAGTTATTAACATTGTTAATATTTTACTAAGTGAATTTCTTAATTTAATTCTTATATTTAGGAGATTGCAAAATTAGTCACAATGGATCTTATAATAACTATTGCATCTATATTCATTATTGATTTCTTTCGTGATTTATGGATTAAATATTGTAATTCGTGGTGGTGTTGGAATATGGAAACTACTTTTGTTTGTTTTATATTTCTTTTCAATAATTAATTTGACTAATGAAACTAATTATTATACTGCATTGAATAGTTTAAGCCGAAAAAAATTGAGGCTATATAATATAGATTGTAAACACTTTATAATTTGTTATCAAGTTATCATATCATTATAAACAATTAAAAATTTTCAACGAATGCCTAATGAAATAATCAAATTACATATATATATATATATATATATATATATATAGATTTTAATTTATTTCGATTTATTATTTCAGTTTATCAGATTTATTTCAATTTATTTATTTCAGTTTATATGTTATTTAGATTTCAATTTATATTTCCATAATGAAGTATATCACTTACTGATTTTCTTTGTTACTCTAATAATGAAATTATAATATGCAATGAATAATATTATTAAAAGAAACAAAATTTTTTTTTTTCATTTCTCTAAGAAAGAAGTAATTCTTAAATGGTATAGCTAATGCAATAGTATTTCAGCCTGAGTATGGAGAATTTAAGGTAGCAGAAAATGTACTTCATATTATTAATAATCAAGGTATGGTATGGCTTGGATTATTTTTTGCACCATTATTACCTGCATTAAATAATCTTAAATTAATCGTTTTGATGTATATTCGAGGTTGGGCATGTATGACATGTAATGTACCTGCACGTGAAATATTTCGCGCTTCAAGGTTTCTCTTTTTTTTGCAGTTTTTTTTTCCAAGGTTATATAACCATAAAATTTCAACTTTTATGTTATGAAATACTTGAAAGATGTATTGCAGAATTTGTTGAGAGCATAATGTATAAATAATTAAGTATTAAATTATAATATATACATATTTTAAGTATACCTTTGTAAGAAGAATAATAATTCAATAACATAAGTTTCTAGTATCTAGTATAAATTGTCAGCATTGAGATAATATTATTTAATTCAATTACTTAATAAAAATTTTGACTCTAGAATAAACATTTGCTTGCCAGATTTATTCAGCATTTCAAAAAACAAAAACAAAAATAAAAAAAAAAGGAAGATGGAATGGAAGTGTTTGATAAAGTTACTTTTCTTTGTATTCATTTACAACATACTATTTACAAATAACTTTTTGTTATCAAAGAAGAAAAATAAATACTTTTTTAAATTCAGATCTAGTAATTTTTATTTAATGGTATTACTTCTTTGGCTATTACTTTGTACATTACCTGTTGGTTATGTGATTGCTTCCAAGAAACCATCTTCTTCATGTGGACCTTTTGCGTTTGTTTATATTTTTTAATTTCTTAAAATCTTAATGTTTCTATTAGATTTATTAGGATAATATTTTTTTTTTCTTGATATTATCAAAAATTTTTACTAATACGATCGGAAAATTTCAATAATATCATTAAAAATTTGCTTTTTAATTTTTGATTTAATCAAAAAGAGAATTATTTGCTAATATTCGAGTATATGAAACTATTGCATTATCAGTTTAATTATTAAAGTATGATTAAATTTTTATGCTATGCTAAATAAATGATAAAAATTTTCATTTATTTTAGGCGTTAGATTTTTTACTTTATCAAATGATAGATTAATATTTGTATATTTCTATTCTAATAAAATAATTTTCTCATCAAATAATTACAAAAAAAAAGTACGAATTGTTTTATTTTTAGTGGCTATACTAGATTTTACTACGTTCTAACACAAATGTTAGAAGGTCGATTGGATAGCAAAGTGATAAATTGGCTCAGATATATTGCCTCGCCAGGTGTTGTTATACCAGTTCTTCTACTTCTCATGTAATCTTTTTGTTTTTTTCTTTTTGATCGAAAAATTTGTCATAAAAATTTATCGAAATTTTTATTATTAAAATTTATTGCTGCCAAAAAAAAAATTATTATTAAGTTAAAAATTTATTAATTTATCATTAAAAATTTTATTATTAATGTAAAATATAAAATAAACTTAATTACTTTAGCTCTACAACTTTATTCTTTTATTGCTAATATTGTTATATATGTATATATATATATATATTTCAATCAATATTTTTGTCGACTTATGATAATTTAGAAGTTGTATGATCATTGCATTTTGGTAGATAAATTGCAGTATTTGATATTAAATGGAAGATTTATCATTGTCGTCTTTTTCTATCATTCCAAAAAAAAAAGTAAAAACATCTTTTTCTACCAAAAAAAAAGAAAAAAGAAATCATATCTAATTCAAAATTACATCTATTATTCAATGAAAGTTAGCACAGAATGGAGGAAAAAAATAAGTAAAATAATTTCAGGCTAATCATTTATTTCTTAGTATCATTAGTACGTGGGTTACGAAAAACAAACAATGACCTTCAGCAGCAGCTTATACATGTTAGAATTTAATATATCATTTTGTAAGGTATTATCTAATTATGATTTATCACAACAACAAAAGATAATTAATGAGAAGTTTTATCCATAAAGTTTTCATTTTTTGTTATTAAAAAATAACTTCTATCATAATGATTTGTGAAATAGCGAAAATTACTTCTTTTCTTGTACAAAAGATTTTGTATAGTATGTTCTAAGTATTATTTTGGCACTTGAACATTGATTAAAAAATTTTGTTTATCATTATTTTGATAAGTGAAATAGATCAATGCTGAATTTTCCAACCAAAAAAAGAAAAAATTTTAAATCAGTCGAAAAATAATTTCTAACAAATAATATTTATATTGTTTAGTATATCTCAAGTACATGAAAATGTGAGAAAATTCTAAACAATCATTATTTGTTATTTCTTTTTGATTTTTTTTTTTTGAAAAAAAAAGGTAAGTTAAAAAAAATTTTAGGAAAGAACAGAAGAAAAGAAGAAAATATTCGAATTAGCTGGTACTGCACAGAGAAAAGTTTCTCAAAAACGACAAAAGAAAAAACAAGTTGTTACCTATTTACCATTAGTTGAGCAAAAACGACGAGAACCATGGCGATATTATAATGGAGTAATTTTATTTTTCATTTTAATTCTTTCTTTTTAATCATTAAAAAAGTAATTGATAAGAATAAAATTTTATAGATGCTATTTATTTAAAAATTTTGAAGTGTTTAATCGTAATAGTTAATTTTTGTTCAAAATATCACTTTTATATTTTAATCATTAATATTCCAGCCTCGCTTTTGACGTCTAATATGAATATTAATGTTGAGTATTTATTAAAGTATTACTTATAATAACATAGTATTACTTATAATAGTATGATATATTTTCAGCAAGAATACGATTCATCGTTGTGCGTTACAGACGAGACTAGCGCTATAACAACGCCAAATTCTGAGCAGTCAGTTTCACCAAAGCATTTGAAAATCGGACAACTATTATCAAAACCAACAATTCAACATGAATCTGTAGAAATTCTCGAACCTATGCAACAAAAAATCACGTATTACTTTTTTTAGTTTCAAATCACGTATTAATTTTTTCCAGGTTTTTTTTTTTTTTAAAGTAATGTTAAATTATGATCCAAAAAATTTCTGATATTTTAATCATAGTTAAAAGAATGAACTTTCATTCTTGCTGTTTTGAAAATTTCCTTTGCTTAATAGCAGCATTTCTAATAAATAAGAAAACATAATGTAAACCAGAAGGCAACAAATTGAATAGGTAAAGTAATAAACATGAAAAACTTAGTCTTTTATATTATCGAAAAAAAAAAGGGGCGGCTCGTTTTCATTCCATAAAATGGTATGATTATAGAGCTTTTTATCTCAATGTTGCTGATTATTTCTTAGCATTCATTTAAGTTTCATTAATTAATTTAATTTTAATGGATAACCTAATCATCATGAATTTTGAATTTTGAGCCCATTTATAATTTCTAGATATATAATTAGTAAATTGACTAAGTTGATTGTTATATAATTCATTTCCTTTGACTTTATTAGATATATTAAAGTTAGAATGTTGGATGAATCAACGATATAAGCTTAATAGGAAGCATTTTGTTTCAGCTATGATTATTATTTATTTGAACTTTGAATGAATGATTATATCAGAATATTTATAGCCAAGAAAAAAATATGAATGAGGAAAATGGAAACAAAAGTGAAATAGAATCTAAAGAGTTATTTCCACTATCAAATGGCAATGTGAAAGATTGGTTTCAAAATATTGATGATAATAATGATAACGATGATAATGATGATAATGGTGATAATGATGATAATGATGGTGAGAGAAGTGAGGTACAATCCTATAATGTTGAGAGTGATGTAGTGGAAGAAGCTACATCAGAGGAAGTACGGTAAGATCTATTCCAATCATTTCAATAATTTCTCTATCTAAAATTTTATGCTATCACTTTGTAGAATATTTTTTGTTTGTTTTAAAATGATATACACTGAATTGTAATTTTAGTAAACCGTTAAACTTATTAGTTTGCATGTTATTTGTACACATTTTATTTTTTTAATCTATTTTATGTATTACTTCAACTTTTAATGCTTGATGGAGTATTAATTAAATAATTAATTTGCATATTAAAAAAGTGGAAAAAAAATCTTTTGTTTATGTTTTTTACTCCTTCTTTTTTTTCTTTTTTCAAGCAATTTAATGCGTCGGTTAACCAAATCAATGCGTGGTTCAACGGTTTCTCTAGTTATTTCGCCAAAAAATGACTCATCTGGTACAGTAATTAATCCTATCACTGTACTTTTTCCAACATTATCCATTAGACGAGGTGATTCTCGATCAGCACTTAGTCACTATCATTTATCAAATCTATCACCATACGACAAATTCAGTAATTCGTCATCTTTCTGCAATTTGCATTGGTACTATGATTATGATTTCTTCTTTCATTCATTTAGAATTCAATCAAATTTCATTAGCTACATTATGGATGATTGCTATGCTAGTGTAAAATTTAATCATCTATTTATTTTTAAATGATATTTGCAAATGGTATAATTTTATCATTCAAGAGAAATTTTGAAAATAATGCTTTTTATCAAATTATTTTATGATTTTATGTCTTACTTTTAAACATCAATCATTGAACAACTTTTAATATTTAATAGAAATTTTTATATTTAATGAAGCATGAAAAAAAAATCTTTTTTTCGTAAAGTGAAATATCAAAACAATTATACAATTATATATGCGAAAAAAATATAAGATTTGAGGTTGAATAAAAACGGCAGAAAAAAGTTGTGACATTTTATTCTTTTCCTTAAACAATCGCTTATTTTTATTAATGTTATAGGTGATACTACCACTATTAATCTAACCGCATATTTGCTTAAGTTTCTGAGTATTATATTGCTTACTAATATATTCTTTCGGTTTGATGCTAATTTAAATTATTTTGCGGTACTGCATCTATATTAATAAATTTATGTACAAATTAGAATTTTTTTTTTCTATCTTGTCTTACTAATATCACACGAATAACGAAGTAATCATTTTACTCATTAGAATTAGAATAATTTAATGCTTAACATCATTCAACGTTTTTTTTTTTTTTTCGTCGATGTTTTACCTTTGTTTTTTTATTTATTCTCGAAAAAAAAAAAAAAAATTCTTTAGGTTGGCCGATAGTTCATTGTTCAATAAGCCATCACAACATGAATCTAAAATGAATAAAGCAATGCAGTCATCCTCAGCACTACTATACGGATCATCAATGCATTATCAATCGCCAAGCCCAAGCGAAATTCACATTCCCACCTCACAGCTACATTTTGCGCCAACGATTTCAAAAGACGAAAACATAACAAAGCAAACTATTTTCAGTGCTAATCCACAAATACCAGAGATTGTTGATACACAAACCAAAAAACCCAAAATTTCTCATTCCACAAATCGTTTAAGGTAAGAAATTTTTGCAAATTGTTGAATTAAATTCAATAAAGTAACCAATTTATTCCCGAATTTCGATTCTTTTATTCGAATGGGAATTGATTTTTTGAAGATAACATTTGTTTTAAAATATAGATAATTTAATTGGTATTTAAATCAGGAAGAATATTTTAAAGATTACCTATACCATTGTAAAAATATACAAGTTAAGACTGCAACAATAGTAACATAACACTATCAAAATATATCATGCGATAACCAACATTAAGATTATTATTATTATATTCTTAGCAATTTTTTTAAGTAATTTCAAAAATTGATGAGCAGGGAAAGTAATATCAAAGATATAAAACATGAATTTGTTCCTTGGCCATCAGTGAAAGAAGCTCAATCACAAGTCTCCGAATTTTCACAACAACAACAGAAATCAATGATCGATTTTGGCGATGATCACCTAACGAAAAGCATTTCACCTCATTCACCTTCCATGAAAACCGATGACTTTGAAGTTTTTATTTTGTATTTTCATTTAAAAATATGTCATGCATTTGTTGTGCTAAGATCAAATTATGCTAAACAGAATCTAACTCTGTTCCTAGAAGATTGAAATGAGCATAAAGAGAAAATATGAATTAACAAACTGTAGAATTATTGATTAATAAAGTTCAAAACTTAACTGTAGATAGTTTCACGATAGAATTGATTAGAACGAGCAGTTGACAGTTCTAATCGAAGATTTTTTCTGAAAGCTAATGTATGGATGGGTTTGATGCTAACATATATTAATATAAACTGCATTAAATGATCATTTATTTCATCGATATTACGTAATGTCATTTAGTAATCTTCCGGACTCTTTTGACTGGTTATACTTTCAAGTAAAACTGATTATGAAATATTTCCTGTTGAGTGTCTCCTGTATAAAACAAAATAACTTTTAGGACAATTCCTCAACATCTCAACAACATCAACGTCGCTTTCGTATATCAGTTTCACCATCACGACGCTTTCAAACTCAAAGTGGTCCTTCTGAAAGTGATACCGATACTAGGTAATATAGTATCTTTTTTTTTTGCGTAGTTGCATTTTTTTATATATTAATTGAATTAGGTTTAAACTAATTTTTAAATTTTAGCACTGGAAAACGCCGTTATGTAATTAGGCAAGAGATATTGCCAGATTCGACAATAAGTGTTAACGTAAGTGATAGCGGGACGTCATATCGAAAATCATCAATTCATTCCTCAAAACCGACCGAAGTCGATAATCGTAAAGACCAACAATATTAATTATTTAGTTGACGTTTCATCAATACTTTGCAATCAAAGTGTAATGTTTTGAAAGTTATTTTTGTGTAACTTATTGATTGCATGATAGTGTATCATATCATTCATACTCTTGGAGCATTTCTTTCGTCTTTCCTGCTATCATTTTTTTGATATCAGATACGTCCATCAGCTAAGCTTTTTCTAATATGGCTTTTGTAAATTTTTAATTTGTAAATTTTAACCTTTTACTGCAAATTTTAAACCCGTCCACTACTGATAATCTGACTATAAAAAATACTAAATCATTTGGCATATTTCTCCTCTCCTTCTATACTTACCTGATGCTCGATACTGTTTTATTTTCAGGAGTTTTTTCCCAATGACTATTTCATGTTTGGGAAGAAAATTTTTCGGAGTCTTTTTAGGAACTTGACTAGTTCCTAAAAAGTTCACTGATCGGTTTTACTTCTAGTCTTTACAAAACAGTTGATAAAAAAATCTATCGCATCAGGGGCTATTAGTAAAATTGTTTATATCAAGCCATTTACTAATTTGAGATGAATAAAAATCTCTTGAAATACCGGAAAAAGCTCAAATCTATCCTTGTTTTGGCACGTAAACAATGATTGTTCGTTGCTCTATATTTTGTGTGCTTTTGAACAGGACCATATTTGCATGATTTCAAATAAATTCACTCCATTTCTTTGTCACAATAAAGAATCTTTCCAAAAATGAAATCATCTGATAAGCTAGCTATTCATTTAATAAAAAGTTCAATTTCTAAAATAAGAAAAATTATAACTTTTACCCCGATTATATGTTGCTTGATATCTCTGAAAATACCAATTAAAATAAAAAGTTTGCTTTAAACTGAAATTCTATTATTGGCATTTGAGGAATAATGCATCCACCTAAACATATTTCATTTAACGCCTCTTTGAAAGTAACGAACCAAACATAATCACATTGAAATTATTAATCAGCATCCATGCCAACGCGAAACGAAAGTAATTCCAATTCCAGAAGTAATGTGTAGCATGATACCTGGTTCGTTACTTGTTCGGAGCAAGTGTGGATTTTGGTACAATTGAAAATTGGTAAAGTGATATTGGTAAAGTCTAGCTGTAAAGAATTAAGCATGATCGTGTTAATAAGGTTTAATTGCAGAAGATTAGATACGGTAATATTGATAAAGTTTAACTATAAAGAATTAAGCATGGTGATAATATTGTGATCTGTGATGCATTTTAAGGAATAGCGAATGTCCCGAAGGAAGATTGTAAAATTTAAGAAATCTGAAAAAGCTATATTTCTTGGAGTTTTTGGTTGGTATGAGTTACTAAATATTTGATATGTATAATGCGTTATCTTTACATCTTCTACAAAACTCAGTTATACTGAAGGGATTTAAAAAATCACTGCTGAAGTGTGTCGATTTGCAGAATTTAATACAATATCCGTTATGGATGATTTGTTTTTCAGGTGAAATGTCTTCAAAAGTGAGAAAATGTGTGAAATGCCCTCAAATGGCTACATTTTGTAGTACAGACGCGAAAAAAGCAGTTTACTGCAAGTCATGCTTTATTCAGATGGTAAAGCATAAGTTTAGCTCTGCTATTGGCAAGCGACGACTGTATAAAGTTAGTGCTGTTCCACTACATCCCAAATATTAATATTCCTGAGGTTGTTTTTGAAATTTGGGTAACCATAATATTTTTGAGAACTCTAGCATTTTCATTGAGACGTCCATTTTTAAGCGAACTTTGGTGCAGTCCCAACGATCAGTTGAATAATTAAATTTAGAGTTATTTTGATTAAATGAATAATAAGTTCTTCCGGCAATGCCAAAAATTCCATTAAAAGGTGCTGTAAATTCCAGCGCATAGCCTATTCGCTGTTGATTCATTTTTAGACTTTGCATTAAAGGTTTTTATTCCTTATTTGCAGTTGACCTTTTCTTTCTTATATAAATTTAACAACATGTCCAAGGTATGTGTGCTTTTTTTTCCGCATTTTAGGATGGTGAACAACGTGAGACCTTAGTAGTTTACGATGGAACTAACGCTGGTGCATTTTTGTTGTCTCTTGTTAGCCAGGGTCTGCGTGCTGATGCTCATAAACGACTTACACTTGTTCCTACTGTAAGTGCTCCATGTACTTAATTCAGACTATAATTTATTTACAAACAGATAGGATTACCAGATTTTTTGAATATATCAATTGAGAAGCTTTGTGTTTAAGAACTTTTCCTTTCGCAATGAGCGAAATGGTTTGAGATTACCATTAGAATCTTTTTAGGAAGTTTATGAACAGTTTGTTAGGCATGTATTAAAATTAATGAAACATCATCACTTCATCAGCAGCACATTATTCAATGGAAACATGGAAGTTTCCATATCTCTAAGTTTCTTGAATCTACATCATTCCTTCATCTTCATTTTCAAATTTGTCGTATTTGTTTAGATAATGGTTCTTCTCAAGGAAACAGATGAAGCAGTAATTGGTAGTATCAAGAAGGAAGTAGAACTTATCAAGCAATGTATCGAAGCTCCATGGATATATGTTCATATTGCTGCAGTCTTCGAAAGCAATATTTGTGATCCACAAACATCTAGCATTTGTGGTATCGATCATGTACTCTTTTTCTATTTTTCTCTTTTTCTGACAATCTTTGTAAACTAACTCCTGATTCTCGATTATTTTTATTTGCTATTCACTAAACCTTAATTTTTACTTATGACACATCCACTATATTGAAAGGAACTCGGGATGAATGCTTTATATTTTTTTTTAGTTTTTAAGAATGTCATCGGACTTCTGGGATGCAGTAGGTCACAGGAATTTCCGTATCTTTACAATCCGGGTTTCATTAATTATTCGTGCATCTTTTACTGTTAATTCTGGTGCATCATTACTGGAATGCGTGCAACTAGGCGTTTTTACATCCTGCCTTCAATTATGTAGGACTTCTGAAATGTTTCTGTTGTATCATTTTTCTTTTTTTATTAGTAAAAGATTCTTCAGATATCACAGTGGGCTCAACTGTTGACTTCCTGTTCGTCATCGTCGACTAGAGAGGAAATGGAATACTTGTGCTTAAATATGTTATGTGTTCGTATAGCACAGAAGTTAGATGTTCATAAAGTAATGCTGTCTATGTCTGCCGATGAACTAGCCACAACAACTCTTTCATCGCTTGCTTTAGCAAGAGGTTTGTTACATTTCTTCAAAATTTTGAAGAAAAGGAAAGAAAATATATTTAAGAAGGCAAGGAACTCTCTAGAACGCAGATTTATAAGTTTTAATGAGAATTGGGTTTCTTATCTGTTAACATCGGCTTATAATATATTTTGCAAGTTTTCAGGCCCTTCTGTTTTTCATGAGGTTAACGTAGTTGATAAGCGTCACGCTGATGTCACACTAATACGTCCACTTCGGGAAATTACTGAAAAGGAAATTGCACTTGTCAATCGGTATTTTTTTTGTTATTTTCTATATCCTTAATTTTTGTGAAGTTTGTTTAGTTCTTCAATTCGTAGATTAAAATGAACAGTTTTAAGAATAATAACTATGGATAACCGTGTTGGATAGTTTGGTACCAATAGTGTTTTAGTATTTTATTTTGACCATCTCATCTACTATTTTAATAAACTTATTGAATCACGTCATATTCATGAGTTTTTCCGAAATTTTTAAAATTAAATGTATGATATGCAAAAACATACTTTCAAAATATTTTTCTATCGTTAGCAAATAATTTGCTATAAGCCATTGATTTAGATTCGAGGGAAGTGATCGATACATTTTGAATGTACGTAAGAGCCGTGTAAAAGCTAATGATGATGAGCAGTCATTGCAGTCAGTTTCCAGAGATTTTATAAGCGATTTGGTAATGAATGGTTTTACTGGTACCGTAACAACTATACTAAGTATCGCTAACAAAGTGCAGGCTCCAGCCACAAATAGAGCACGATGTGTTTTATGTGCCTCAACTTACAGTGCAGATGAAGGAGAAAAGTTTGTTTGAATATGTTTTGTCGATATTGGTTCCAGTAGTACTTCAGTATTTAATTTTGTGGCTTTTTTATGTCTTCATTTCGGGGAATAGAACTTACATCTTGAATAATAAGATTAACAGAATCTTAGTATAAATAGTTAATTCAAAGATAACATAATTATAACCACTTTGTATAGTGCACATGGAAGTGTTGTAGTTTTTACAAACATCACCGACTTTCTGTATGTCATTCGTTGGATTCATTTTTCAAGTTTTAATGTATTATATTTTCAGGTACTGCTTTTCGTGTATTTCAGTTCTGGAGCAAGTTGGCGACAAGGTTTTGTTAGAGCAGCTCCTTAGGCCTCATATGTATGATTGCTAATTGATGCGCTAAAAAAATTATATGTTCGTATTACTACCCGTCGATTAGATTGTGTTGTTACTAAATAGATGTCTTAAGCAAACCTTTCGATTTAGAAATAATTATTATAAAGTTGTTTGTAATTATTGAATCTAGAAGTTTTATTTTTTAGTTGGAAAAATAGTTTTAAGTCTTAAGTGGTTAGAGAATAAAAAAGTTCCGGTGCGAATGAATGGTAATTCCGAGTACTTTTACTAAAAATTTTACTAAACCTGATTAGCTCTCACGCTGTTGTCCCCTATTTGTTATGGAAAATTTTGTTGGAATATACTGAATAATACTGTTTTTTTATTGTCACAGTTGTCATTATTATTTTCTCAGTTATGTTATGATTAATAAAAGCAGATAAATCGATTTTTTGCACTATCATATATGCTATCACGGCTGATCTCCAATATCATTTCTTTAGAACAAATGACTTAAATACCTAGTAAGGTTGCTGACTGAACTTGGTTTGCAACAGTAAAGTAAAAAGATGTGAAGAATCAATATATTCAGTATCCTTGAATCTTGCTTACTTCGATTAGGAATGAAGTTTGAAGTTTCGTATAAAATCTACAGAACATTTCTACTTTTACTTTTTTTTTTTCCTAATATTTCGTATGGTGTTTACTAATTTGATATTTGCAAGTTATCCGGAACTAAAATATCACTAAATAATTTAATTACTTTAGAAATTATATGTAACTCTTATTCAACAGTAAGCCTTATTAGGCTTACTGTATGCACCTTCCCCATAAACTCTTTTAATTCTTTTCAAAAGCTAATTTCATCTCTAAAAGTCCGGTGTGATTATTGTAACTATCGGTTTTACAAAAGTTGGGTTAAAAGAGGAAAGGGAAAGTATATGATCTCAACAGTATGATTCTTCCTGTTATCCTGTTGACAATAATCAAGCATGCCATTTGTGATAATTAACTCTTAACATTTTTAGATTTGGATAATGCGTGCTGTGATTGTAACTTTCTGACGGTAACGATATGTCCTTGAAATATTTAGTTCATCTTTTTCTTATGGATAATGGCAGTTCTCATATTATTTGTCAATGGAATTGTCGACATCGATCACGTTTTCGAGTATTATTAACTTTCAGTTCTAACTAATTATTGAAGTTTCTTAACATGGCATTCTATATAAACTATAACGAATTGTTTATGCATAATTGAAGATGCATTTGCATGAACAATTGAAGGTATTGGATTGATATTTCAAACTCTTTAACTTATTATGCAATTGTTGCCAGTTTTATTTTTCTAATTTTATTCTTTTTCATTTTTTCTTGTAGTTTCTACAAATTAGAAAAACTTAGTTTTAAATTATGCTTACATACTGTTTTCATATCGATCTAGTTTATTTTTATTTTTATCTTTGGATTATGGATTACTATCATAAAATCCACTATCAACTCTAATTATCAGAATATTAGGTAAAAGTAACAGCACTTGTGGATCACAGTTTGCTTAATTGGCCTTCAACATATCTTTTTTGTTGTGCTAATTGAACTGTGACAGTTAATACTGTAAATTTAATGTTAATTTCTGTAACTTAACAATTTGTGTGTTGGAGTAGTGGTAGCATTTTTTTATATATACCTTTTTTATGCCGTTAATTATGATAAGGAAAATTTCTGAAAAAGTAGTTAATGAGATAATTGAGGAAATGATAGTTGATTGACGAAGGATGAGATAAATAGGTGATGAGGCAAAACTTCATAGCCTATTTCGTTCAGCTTTTTTAAACCTATTTTTTAACATTGGAAAATTTTTAGAAGTTAAAATGACATAATATAGTCACACTTGCTTAGAACTTTATCCCAGTACAAAGAGTAAAATTTGGTAGTACAAAAAAAGTTTGGAGTTTTTTTTCACAGAAACTTAGTATCTTTTCAAAAATTCATTGCGAAAACAATTTATCATAGCAATATTTATAGTGATTAGATGAGTGAAGGATGGGACGATTTGCCAACCGAACTGTTATTGATGATAATGTCTTACTTAGAGGCGAAAGAGTTGGCACGCCTTGGTAACGTCAATTATCATTGGAAACGTGTGGGAGAAGATGATTCATTATGGAAATATTTATTTTTCAAAGATTTTACGCGAAACAGCCAGACTTATAGGAAGGTAAATTTTAAACTTAATTTTTAAACTTTAAACTAATTAGAACTGATTAGCAAAAGTAGCTGTTTTCCATAATGCTTGAAATAAACGGTTGTAGGAAGTTTTGCTGGAGGAATCTCGTAGAAGGAAGACATGCTAAAATTTCAAAAGCATTTTTCATCATTTTACAGGTTTGTGAACGTTGGATCGATGAATACAAGCTATTGAAATTTGAACCTCCGATAACTCTAACGGAAAGCTTAAGAGATTGTCCTGACGGTTTGTCACATGTTGCATTTTCTGATGACGGTCAGCTGTTTTGTACAACAGCTAATGATGCTTCTTTCAAAGTGCGTCCTTTCTGTCTGCTTACAATTTCTTTAATATTTAATTAAAACTTCACATCAGAATTAGGAAATGATTATAATTAGATTTACGATTTATGGAGATACTATCCCTGTAGAAGTATGTAGGAGTTATCACATGCTAGCCAAATGAATGGAACGATTCTGATTATCGATATCATTGAATGAAACCGTTTGATAGTTAGTTGGAGTGCTACTTCAAGAAATCAGTGCAAGTCATGCGAAGCAAGGAGTCTGTATTGGAAAAGGCAGTTCATTGAACGACTAGAATATCTTTTACATGATAACTTTCGAAATCATTAAGTATAAAACATATGAACAGTTGCTTCAGCTAATCTTTCATTAATTGAATTGATTAAAAATTTTTGTTAAAATCGTTTAATGTTTCACTTTTTCACTTTATCATTTTGCTATAGATATGGACGGCAACAAGCCCTGTATATTTGTTGGATGAAAGATACATGGACGATGCGCTTGGATGGGAACGTGCTTTGAGCTCTGAGTTCAGTGCGGACAATAAACGCCTCCTTGTGGCTGGTGTGAAGTTTGGTGGAATTGGTGAAATTGCAATTTATTCCGTCGATGGTTTGTTTTTTTTTTTTTCTGTAGTGATCTTTTTCTCTCCTTTTTTTTAGTAAAATTCGTGATAATTTCTTTCAAATTCTTAAGATTCATTGGAAGATATTTTTTGATTTTAACTTCAAATGAACTAATTATTAGCAAGATTGTATGAAATATTTTGATATTGCGAGACTCTTTATAAATATGCTGTAGAATGTAGCATGCACTTCTCATGAGTCCCGAAAATTTGTGGTAAAACTTTTTTTTTTTTAACTGCTAACGCCAAACATCGAAATATTAACTGATTAGCCTAAAGTTTAAATTAGAAAATATATAATTTTTTGTAGAATAACAATGTGCATTTACTGCAGATGTTCATATTATGTTATTCTGGTTTAGCAAAAGAAAATAGGAGTAATCTTTTTTTAATGTCAAATAATACTAATTAAATAATGTTTATAAGTTGTTTTTTTTTTTTTTTCAGAGGACAGTTCGTCAATACACTACTTATGTCGCGTGCTAAATAATCCTCCTGAGGTGGGTGCCTGCTGGTACAACAGTTCATACATATTTAGTGGTGATATATATTTTTTTAATCGGAAGTATGTTTATTATTGAATTATTTCTTCTTTTTTTTCCATACTAGAGTAGAATACATAAATTTGTTTTAGTTAACGCTACTTAGTAAATAAAATTGGATCAAGTAATATTTCATTTAATGGTGCGAATTGGTATTAGAAGTGATATCACAATAAACGGAGAATTTTTAAAAGAATTTTTTTTTTATTATTTCTACTTTACGGTAGTGTAGTTGTTAGCTGTAATAATGCGGAACACCGCACTTATTATCGCTAACTAAATTAGGAGTAGTAGTTTTTATGATTGTAAAATTTGAGCTCTATTGTGGGCACATCAGTATCGCAAATTTGGATTTGTTCATCATTATCGCCGGATGCAGTTGGTAATGAATCAGTTATGAGTCCTGTTTTTCGGTACAGTTTTCTCTTTAAACATTTCTATGTTTTTTTTTTTTTTTTTTTTTTTGTTAGAAGAAAAAAAAAAGATTTTCCCAGTGAAATTTGATATAAAACTTTTCCATACCAAAATTTTAGGTATGCACAAAGAGGGGAGAAGTTTTATCTAGCACGTATTGGTTTTTAAATTGTTACGGGCTCGTAGAAAGCTATTCTGAGGCTTTACTGCAATACGTCTCCTAAATTGGCGCAATCTCACACAAAATTTGTTTGAAAGAAGCTCATTGCGTCTATTAATTAATCTTTGTTTGCCTGTAAGTTAAGATGTTAGCGTGTTAGTAAGTTTTTAACTCATTCATTCACCAATACCTTAACATGTATTGTATGAAGAATCCTGCAACCAGTTAGTGTTTTTACATGCTGCTTGTATTATTTCTAAGACGCTGTTTAAATATTGATAAAATGTTCGGAATGTGATGCAGAATATTTTTGTTTAGGATATTGAATCGAGGTGGGACGTATTGTCAGATGATCAAGTTAAGTCGATTTGTTCCCTCTCGACTCCGAGGTGTTGTAGTCCTTGCAGAAGAAGCTGCAATTGAACATAAGGTGAAACATTTCTAATATGCATTTATGTATGAGATTGTGTTGCTAATAGAGCGTTTATCAGTTCAGTCCACCTGCTGCTATTTAACTGAAATTTTTAAAGTATAAAACTTAACAAAAGTCTAAAATTTAAAAATTTTGAATGAGAAATAGGTGTACATGATAGAAGAAACATGAAACTAAATTAACTAATTAATTTTGATATGGATTACTTTTGCTGTCGTGATTTGTTTCCGGAATGTTTACGCAATTCGTGTTTAGTATGTAGTCTTGCCTTGTATATTACTGTTTTTTTTTTTTCGGTTGATTCTTTGAAAAGAGATCATATTTTATGTATTCGATTTATACGCAGTATAGATTACATTCTACGCAAATAATAGTTGAGGATATCTTTTTTTATTTTAATGCATTTTCAGACGTTAACTTCGAAGGCAAATGAACTGGTAAGTGAAGAATTAAGCGATAGTGAACGAAGAAACGAAATGAAAAAGCGAATTGAAGAAATTAGTTCTGCTTGGGGGACGGAATGTTCTAACTGCAAAAATTGGCATTTGGTGGATCAAGATGACAATGTTAATGGTTTACCAATCACATATACAGCATGTTGTCCATGTTTTTGCCATGAAAATGATCATCGATTGTTAATTTATGCAACGGGTGACAATGAATTCTCTCCACCGCATTGTGTCGCTTTCAAAATAGTTGATGGGAATATGGTAAGTTCTTTTTTGTTTACATATTAATGCTAAATTTAGCAATATACGGAATTAGTTAAACTGGAATTTTGCCCCAGAATTATTCTAGTACCATGGACAGATCTAACTGTAGCAGATGCTTTCAATTGTTTACCTGTTACACTTAATACAGTTGTGAAATTTGACTTCAAGAACTTATAGCAGTAATTCTTTACTAGTTATGATGTTCAAGGATCCAAAAACTTCAATTATTTTGAGAAAAAAGTGCTGTTCTTCGGTTTATCAATTCGTATAGTTCAGTCATTGGTGGTTCACATTGTTTTTTCTTAGAAACTGAGCTTTTTCATTTTTAATCTTTGGTTACCAATATCGACTAAAGCACTGCATTTTGTAGATGAGGCTGTAGTATGTATTGAAAATTCGAAATTTCGATTCATTGTTTTGAACAAGAAAGACTTCTTAGCTTTGCATCCGGGTGGATTTATGGCGTACTACTGTTGCTTTAAACTGGAAACGTATAGAATTTTTCAGATTGCTGGAAAAATAAACCCAGAAACGGAATCATGGCCAAAGCGAGAAGAGCGGTTAATTTTTTCATTTGGTTCTTCATCGCTATAAGATTGTTACGAGTGTCTTAATTTCAATTTCTAGTTAGATATAAGGATCTCGAATTTGAAGTGATTAATTAGGCGAATTTACGAGTGAAGAAAGATTTGTGTTGTGGTTTCAGTCGTTTTCTTCTTTTTTTTTTCTTTTCTTAATTAGTTCATAACTGATTTAAGAGTTACATATCTCTGATTACTACAGCAATACATAAGAGGTAAGTAGTCAAAAAAGCCGCAAATGAGAAATCATACTTTATGAAATATATGGAGTAGAAAAAATTTAAAAAATATATGCGTAGGAATCATATTATTCTATATTGACTTGGATTCTGTATAAAATTTTAGTATATTTTATGATTTCTTTCAGAGCAACAGGTCGTCGTCATCAACAGCAAGAATTTGAAGAAGCGCAATTATCGGCAATAATGTCAATGGTTGACTTTCCCGATCACATTATCGACATGAAGGCTTATATTATGGGAATGACATTGAGTTTAGACCAGAAGTAATTGCTTTTTAATAAATAATTTTTCATTTTCAATTCTTTCTATTCTTGTTTTTAAAGCGAATAAAGAGAAGCGAGGTGAATAGTGGGATTGATAATTTCTTTTGTTTTTGTGAGACTCAGAAGGGAAATTCAAGTGAATTATGGTTTTGTTTTACTCTCGTGTTTAAGATTGTTTTTGCAGATGACATAGAATGAGAACTTAATAAATATTTTATTGTCTGTGTTTTCTCTGTCTTTTAATATTTGATTACTTCTTCATAATTTACTTTTTCAGGTATTTGTACGTGAATGTTACACATGACAATTATGGCGGTAGTTCACAATTTGCATATTTAGTAAGTTTTCGTTTCTGCTTTATTACAATGGATAAAGTTGATTTCTAGATTTTCTTCATTCGTTAAATTTCTGAAGTTCTAATCCAATTTCTGCTGTTTTTATGAAAGCTAAACAATCATATACTAACATCTTCACAACAATTTCGTTACAAATTCCGTTATCCTTCTTTAGTGTGTTTATTCTAAGATAATTATTTGCATTGATAATCCGGTATAAGGAATTTGAAATAAGAATTCAACAAATTGAAGGAAAATATAATTTCTGTTAATTGAGTTTTTTGGCAACATTTTTGTCACATTAAGAGATAATTTTTCAGGCCGAAATTTGTGTCGTTAATTTGTCGACAATGATAATAGAGAAGTCATATATTGGTCATTTTGCTACGTGTATTGAACGGTTTGGTTGTTCTGTTGGTGGACATTATGTTGCGAGGTAAAGTTTCTTTTCAACCAGTTTATCTATTGCTTCTTAAATTCAGTTATACATGAATCTCTGAGAAGTTGGACAGAAGCAAAGTAGTTGGACTAATTCAGATTTTTTAATCGTTTTATTGTTTCATGAATGATATTTATTGGCTTATCTTTAATTCCTGGAACATAATTTCATGAGTCAGCACTTCCAGAAAAACAAAAAAATGTAACAAAGTCAATCTGTCCTCCTCAAAAAATTATTTAAGTAATTATTTAAGTTTCATTATTCTGTTATGTGTTTTCCAGTGCCTCGGTTGACGGTGGACGAATTTGGTCACGTGAATATCACTGCGTTATTGGAGAATTACCACATGCTGGAGGAGCTGCAGCGGTTGCACTGAATCCAGTTGATGGTACTATGGCAGTATCAGTTGGAAAGACCGATGGTAAAATTAAAATTTGGCGAAGTAAAAAATTTCTCCATCGTTATACAGTTCCCAATGATTTTATGTAACTATGTATGATGTAAAGTCTTCCAATATCGGTGATTCTTGTGAAAATTTACGCTTTACGCAAAGTATCGTGGTATGGACCAAGTGGGGAATAGTCCTAATTTGATCCAAAAAAAAATTTTTTTCTCGGAATTCACAAAACTACTTAAGAACGTTGTCCAGAGGAATTTGTATTAGACAGCAAACTTCTCAGTTGCGGAAAGCTATTTAGTTGCAGAATTTGAATAAAGATTTGGCAGATTTCAGTAGGTCCTAAATTGGCCTACTAACTCTGTCATGTCTTTGAAGACGGAAATAGTCTCGTTTGTTTAAGAATTTAAGCAATATTTTGCTTTGAAAAGACAATGTTTTCCTGTTAATCCCCTATTTTCAACTCTATCTTCACTTTGAGCATTTTTTTTCACATTAATAAGTATGAGAAAAGTTGCAGCCAGAAAAACGTATTTTGTAGTATTGGTTCATTGAATCTGAAAAGTGTATTATAGGTTTGGAAATATATTTATACTTTTAATATGCTTATATTTGTTTATCTCTCATTTTTTTTTTTTTATTATTCAATATTTTTTTTCTTGTTTTTCATTTAAAATAGGTACATTTTATGAGATAAACCATGAATAAACACTTTCCAATTTATTTTCGCATTTTCTTTTATTCTATTATATGCAAATTTTCAATTGAATACATGGATAATATGGGCTTAGGCTCCTCCATTTAATAGTATTAATGACATCCGATCTATATCAAAAACAAAAAAATCCTCGTAGTCAATTGTGACAACTAAGCATTTACTATGTATGCATATTTATACATTTAACCTAGAAGATTACATTTTCAAATCAATCTTGAATTAATGGAAATTCGGATAGTTAATGGCTAGCACTGAGCGATTTTTTTTTTTTCAGAATGTAAATAATAGGCGTCGAAAAACTGCTCATTTTTATTTCTGTACAAATAATATAATAGCTCATTCTTTTTGAGCAAAAAAAATGTTGAAAGCAGAAACAGCTATGAAGTGAGATGCGTCTATGTCAACTATCATTTCAAAGGAAAAGCTGATGACAATCATTTCTCCTTATGTTATTATTCCACGAAAAAAATTTATGGATATGGAGAGAGATTGAAATTGAATCACAGAATTTCTTGATTCGTTCATTCTGTTTCGCAATTTTTCCTAATTAAAGGTCTTGATAACAGTTTCAATTTAGCTTTCATGCAATTCTGAGGATTGAAGGAGAGTGAGAGAATAAGTGATATTTGTTTATTTATGTATATGTATGGATATGTAATGATCAAAACAGAATAATAAGTTCCAAAGCGATCTTTTTTTTTGAAATAAAAGTTTAAAAATATTCATTTTTAAAAGATTTGAATATGACAAAGTTGCTTTAAATATAGCTCGTTTGTTCAGTAATAGAAAGAGAAAAAACAAGCTACAATATCAACATCAGTAATATTTTACACAAGGAAACGTGAACTCAGAGTTTCGTATTTCTCTGAAAAGTTATTTTGAAATAATTGTTGTTATGAAATAAGTATTTCTGATCTGGAAATAAATGGGAATAATTTGATGGCTTACTGAAAATAATTTGATAGTTTATACTACAGTAATATGATGAACAAACTAAATATTATTGGCTAGAATAATAAGATTGGAAGCTATAAAAATAAAGAATTTGCAGATATTTATTTCATTCAATGGGATTTACTTTGTGTTAAGTGTTACTGAAAAAAGGTAACAATAAATTAGTGAAGTCTTAAATAAGCAAACTTTAATATTTTTTTGGTATTAATTATATTAGTTGGAAATTATATTTTGCATTTTTCCTTGATCAACCGACCAATTATCAGTTAACATCATCCAAATTTTGGATCTTTTTTTTTTTTGAAATCAGTTCTTCTCAGGAATTTTGAACAAGAAAAACGAAAAGAAAAAAAAAAAAAAACGGCAATAAAAAAGTAAGAACTGACGATATCATTCAATGATTGTTAGTCAATTAGAGTGTGAAGAAGTGATGCGATAATTTAATATGTCGTCCTTCAAACATTGTTTTTCATTTTATTTGCTGTAATTGTTGAAGGATGAAAAATGAAAAAGCTAATAGGTAGGTAAAAATACATTGTGATAAGCTATGAGAAGTTAGAAAGTTAGTTTATTATGAAACAAATTGTAAATATGAGATAAACATTATTTCTTATTATTTAATTCGAATTTGGTACATCAAAAAATGTTCAAATTTTGCATGAATATATACATATCTGAATAATAATAATAAATTATATGTAGTAAAGTCAGAAATGAATATTTTATTAAAATTTTAGAGGAGACAAAAAATAATAAAAAAGGGAAAAGGAAAGAAGAAGCGAAATTGTATTACAATTGAAATTTTTAAAAGTACATATCCTGGAAAACGATTCCTTCATTAATGTTTCTTTTAAATTAAGGAGGAAAGAAAAAAAAAAAGAAATGAATTACAAAAAGCACTGCTTAGCTAATAGCATTGAACAATCATAAAGGAATAGAAAGAGTTGTAAAAAGCTATAAACTTATTATTATTTTTCTTTTCAGTCATACAATTCGTATTCGTAACTTTTGATCAAATTTTAAAATTTTTATTTTTAATTCGTTGATTTAAAAAAATTTTTTTTAGAGTACTAATCATTATGACAGGAAATTTATAAAAAGAAGAAAAGCAAAATTTTTAGTAAATTTAGTATGATTTCATGAAGCATTCATGCTTCATGCTTTTTTAAAAGATATATATATATATATATATATATATATATATATATATATATATATAACGATTTTAGGTATAAATTTTAGATAATTTTAGCTAATAAATAATAGAAGAATAAAAAGTACTTTGTGAAAAGAAAAAGTGAAAAAAAAGCGAATTTATTTGATTTTTTGATTTAGTGAAATTTAACAAACTTAATTTTGTGAAAGAAAAAACAAGTTTAGTTAAAAAAACAGACTTAATTACGAAATTGAAATTTACAAAATCTTGAAGATGCATTAATATATTTAATTATTAAAAAAAAATCTGTTGTTAGAAGTTAAAAGGTCATAGTGGTAATAAATTATGATTTGGAGAAAAAATCAATTCACTATCATCAAATAATGAACATTTGATTTTACATTTCAAAAAAGCGCATAAAATCAGAAGAAATAAATTTTGTTTTTCGATGTAATAATGATGCAGCAGATCGATCAGCAATAATTATATCATTGAAAAAAATTGAAAAAAGTAGTGTGTATGCATCATTCTCTTAGTTAATCAGAAATGATAAGTTTCACTGATTATTCATTTGTTGATTTAGTCGATTAGCTTTTTTTATAAAAGAAAAAATGAGAGAAAAAAGAAAAAAACTAAATTGTTGGAACGAATAACTAAATTAAATTTCTACTTTCTCCTAGAATTTATTTAAATATTAAATGGATTAATTTAATTACTGAATGAGTTCAGTCAATTATTTTACTTATTGAATGAAAAATATATGAATTATATTGTAGGTAAATCCAATTACTGTCTCTTTAAGTCTTGTTTAGTTATCTGTATGTGCTAATACACATATCTCACATTATGATTGTTGCTGTTTAATATATTTGATTATTCAAATTTTTTTCTCATAAGATAAATAATAACAAAAATATCTGCAAATCATCAATGCTATTGAAACTGCACTACTTGAAATGAAGTGAATCTGATTAAACTGAATTTTCCAAAGGAATCGGAAAAATTAATTCTGCTTGAAAAAAAAAAGTGTAAAGCAAAATGAGACCAATCATTTAAAATTAAGAAAAAAACAATTTTTTCCAGATTATCCGTTACATTGTCACATAGTGTTTCTCATTTTCTGTCATAGTTTAAGTTATGAAGAGGAAAAGAGTGCATATTATTTAATTTAATGTTTTTCATTTAATATTAATTAAATACTGTACTCAATTGTACACGATTTGTAAATCATATTTGATCAAATTAGAACATACAATATTCAAAAAATCTTTGTTTTGTTTAACATAAAACAAAACAAAAAAAAACACGACTACCTTAGTGGTGTAGCACTTTTCAATTTATTTTCTGCATATATTCTGTACATTCTCATCTTTCTCACACAGTTATAAAAGAGAAATATGCGACTTGAAGTACAAAGTCATTTCATATATTTTAGTATAAAACTGAAATTTACAAAAAAAAAAAAACATAGGGAATGACAATATTCAATTGAATAAAATAAACTTCATCTAAATTTGGCAATTTTAAACCTAATTGCAAATCCAAAATTCATGCATCTTTCCACATACGTAAATTTCCATTTCCAATTTCATAAATTACGATATTGGCAAATATAATATGAAACATATTTGCAACATCAATCAATCGATCAATCTATCTATCGCTTTATTGAAAAAACCACCGACAGCATTTGACACCCTTTTACATCTTCAAATATTTCTTTCTCTCATTGATAGATCTCCAACAAATTTTTGGTTTTCTTACTGATACATTCCAAGATATTTTCATTTCCCTTACAGATATAATTCAGTATATTTCAATCATTTTAAGCTTAAAAATTATAAATTTACACTGTTAACATATAAATTAATCTCGTGAAGAAATTTCATACAAAACTTTTTTTTCTTCAACATGAAATTAAAATAAGCGAAGCAAGAAAATGCAATAATTAAGTAATAAAATTAAATATGTGCAAAAATGTGGCACTGGAACATTTTCAATAAATTTTTTGGCTCAAAATGAGCAAAAATGATCAATTTTTGCATGAGCATTTATTCCATTACCATTATCCATAGATAAAGCATAAACGAAGCTGAACATCTCTAGGTGCAATTGGATATTTCCAAGTGGAATTGAACATTTCTAAATGAAACTGGTCATTTCCAGTCGAAATCCATCACTTTCAAATGTCCAATCGGACATTTCTAAGTAAAATGTGGGAAATAAAAAAAAAATCACAAATACAATATGTAATAATGTTAGTA